GAGAGTTTAGGGCGGGAGAAGAGAGAGAGTTTAGGACGGGTGTTAAAGAAAGTTTGTGTGGAGAGAGAGGGTCTACAGGTAGAGGGTTTAAGGCGGGAGGGTAGAGAAAGAGGGTTTAGGGTTTAGGGCGGGAGAGAGAGGAAGGGAGGGGGTTTAGAGAGGGGGAGAGAGAGAGCGATGGTGTTTAAAAGGGTTATTGAAGAGGAAGGGCGACTAATTCTCAAAAATTAGTCTAGAGTTTCTTGTAATCTATAATCTCTGTAAAGTGTGATATAATCTTAGAGAAGTTTCATCAGAACATTAAAATTTCTCGGGGATTTAACTTGTACGGCGTAATTGTGTCAGATTGAAATGAGTAACATCTTGAGTAACCATAAACAACCAAAACTCTATTTGTCATCACACTTTTGTCCTCATCGCAGTGTTGTATATGTTATCTTTAAAAGTTTTGATTTGCATTTTTTATTGTTTTACACCGAGCACAAACAAACAATGATAAAAAGACAGTGATGGACCTTTAATTGTTTTTTTTTTAAATTGTAATTGATTCTTAAACCTATTAAACTGTGAAATTAACAAAAAAAATTACGATGCTAAAAAGAAAGGAGACTTGGGACGACGACTAAGTTCATAGTATAAACCTCTCTAATGGCTACTTAGTTAAAATTGACTTCATTGTTTTAGGTATGATTATATTCTTTTCAAAGAAGGATGTTGAGGAAAATAACAAACCTGATAATGACAAGATTACTTTAGATAGTAACTCTACGACGATCATTGTTCAGATTTGATATCTTTCATGGGATTAGTGATTAAGATGATTTGTTTCATCATCTGTATCATGCAAGAATGGTCATAACTGTTTATATTTCAATGCCTCAAACCATTGTATCAAGCTATAATTGCACCAGTCTATACTCTCATTGTCCTACAAAGAACCCAAACAGTGAAAACAAAAAGATGAGATGGACCTTTCACTCTTTTTTGTTTTTTCTTAATTTAACAAACAGTAAATTACAATATAAACAATTATCTATATCTGTAGAGATAGACCACAACTCAAAAAGTCTACACAAGTCTAACTTGTAAGACTTATATGGGCCATACTGAATCACTTAATCTTAAGACTTAAGCTGAAAGCTATAGGTTTCCCCTTAAAAGCTATGCCCAAAATCTCCAATGTCTTATTCATCCATTACATATACAGGCTGATTTATCCACAAAGTTTCATGAAAGATAGACTTCTCTTGCCACAATTCATTGCATATTAATCTACGCTCAAGTCTAAACCATTCCTGTAAAAAAAGGATTATCAGATGATTTAATTGCATTTTCTACTCTATTTTTTTCCTGCACAAAGCTCAAACAATGATTAAAAAGGATAAAAAATGGACCCTTCACAGCACGTATTTTAATAATTAATTTTTTATTAAAAAAACAGAAAATAATCAAAATTTATGATGATAAAGAAAGAAGACTAAAGAGACGACGACTCCGCAAAAGACCAGTACCAAGAAAGTACCTAGGAACAACGCAAGAAACTACATATAGAGGAATTATTACAAAGTTTCCTAAATTCGTCCATATAAGAATATACAGAAACCTCATCTTTCGTTGTCCAGTCGATATCCAGTCATGGAAGAGTGCCGGTTCGAAACAAGCGAGTTGCAGGCATCGTTCATGATGTCGACTCCGTTATGGTCCGATTCTTGGAGTTTATGCAACGCCGCTAATTCCATCGGGAGTATCCAGGTCCAGCACATCGCCGGAATCATGTATGTCGCTTTACCGGCGGTGGAGATAACCCAATTGGGGGGAGAACTCGTGGGCCTGGAAGTCGCCGGAAGTGGGCTTTTTCCGGCCTTGTCGACATCATTAGCCACCGATGAGACTCCGCCTATGGTCGACGCTGCTATACTTAAACTTTTCGTCTCCTTGCTTCCACATATTCAATCTCAGGTTTTGTTTTCTTCTTCTTATCATTTTTCTGATTTTGATGCAGTTTTATTGATTTATCAGGAATATTAGTATTTTTACGTACTTCTATTTATTATTCTCCATACACGTTGAATTTCAATCAATATGCATTGACGTAAAAAAACAAATTCAATTAATGCTAACATGACAAATTCTATCAGATTATCAAGAGGGGAAAAAACATAACTAAGCTCCATCAGAAATTAATTCGTTTTTGGGGAAGTTGTGAGAAAAACGGAATTTTGTTAAAATTTACTTGAATGTCTGTTAGTTTTTGTTATCTCAGTCTTCTAAACCAAATCGAAAAAAGTGTCTTTTTAAGAATAATATCACCACCAACCCCTTATAGGCAATAGACAATAGATAAATAAATTATTTTCTTATGAGAAATCCGTAAAAGTTGGTATAGATATAATAATATTCCACCATCTAGGGTATAATAAAATGACATTGTCGTGACCTCGGATATCATAAGCAAGTAAACTCGAATTTTTGTTTGGATGCCACGTCCGCCCACGAGTTTTTAAAATGATTAATGGCTTAGTGAAATGTTATTTTATGTTAATGGCAGCTTTATGCTAATACATACCTCTATCAACAACTTTTAGAAATTCATTTCGAGGACTAGAACAGAGAAGAATGGAGAAATTCATATTAACGAACGAGTTAGAATATTAATTTTTTATTGTGATCATATATAATATTAAAAAAAATTAATAAAAAAATTATATTTAAACAGAAAATTTTTATTACTTATTAAAATATTATATATAAATAAAATAGAAAATAAAAATTATACTACATAAATAAAAATATATTTTTGTGCGGACGTACGAGCTAGAATTTAGTTATCGTTATATTGTGTAAAATATAGGGAAATTATGTGAGATAGGCTGCGGAGTCTTATTTATGTTCATTAAAACTGATTTTTTTTAATTGTGGGCAAAGACATCTAACACCCCTATCAAATTAAAACCACATCATCTTTTTTAAACTATACCACTCAAACTTTTATCCGTTCTGACAATTTCTATTTTCCACAACACCATAACTTTTGCTAGAAAAACTTTTAGTTGAATTTGTTTTTTTCTCTTTTGTTTTAAAATTTTGAATTGGTTCTCTTTCTTTGAGAACCTCCCAAAAAAAACTATTTTTTTGTGGTTTTTTTATTTCCACCCATTCTTCCCGCCGATTAATTCACCGGAAACGATGCCGAGCACTCTGTAACACCGTCGACAAAAGCTTTTTCTTTTCTACAAACCTTCCACTTAACTCCATTTTCGATGAAAGACGTTTCTTTGATTTTGAAGTGCTCCCCCTCAGAAACACTCCCAGACACCCCGTCACCTCTTCAGCGTATCATCTTCGTCGACGGTATTACAGCATCCATATTCTTCATCGGTGAGTTATGAAAGGTTATTTTCTTGGCCCACCTCTATGATTCTTGGTTATATATAATCAGCTTTACTTATAGTACTTCTGATTTCTATTCACTATATTCACCTAATTCTGTCTTCTTCTTCGTTGTTATTGATATCTAGTTCTCTCAATTTTGTAGATCTAGAGTAGTTAACTATTTTTATACGCATATCTAGTAAGTAGTAACTACATTGAATATCATCATTAGTAATCGTCTACTCTACTCGTCCAATAGATACAATAAATAACTACTCTATATTCAGTTAGTCTACATAACTATTATGCACATATAACCAACTAATAATATAACTATCGATAGTTAACTACGTTACAACAATAATCAGTTCATAATAGCTAACTTTTTGACAATTTTCCTTTGTAAGGATATGTGTTCTCTTCGACAATGTCAACCCACACCGTTCACAAATAATATTCTGAGCCAGATTTACGATGCACTCGTTGATGTCTTTGAAAGGGTTGCTAGAGAATCTGCAGAAGATGCTTGTTCATGTAAGGTTTTAAACCGAAAATTCAAGGAACCATCCGTCATCAGGGCGCTCAACCTATCTGCATTCATTAAACGGCCCAGCTTAATGAAGCGCTACCCTGAAGTCTTTGAGTCAGCGAAAATAAACAACTACCAATAATCGACTTTGAGTAGTAGCTATCTAATCGAAATAGATAATTATTAATACTTACTTAAGTATTATAATCAACTTTGAGTTGTATGGAGAAAATAGACAACTATTAATAATCGACTTTGAGTACTAGTTATCTAATCGAAATACATTACAAAGTAGTCAACGTCTCTGTTCATTCAAACAAATCTTCATTTTAAACATAATCACCTACTAGTAGTCGTCTACTAGAAATATATGAACACAACAAACAAAAAAATTAGAATGAAAAGGACATCTATATTGAAGTGATAGATAAGTAGTTGGTATATGTCTATTTATTTTATACTTGGTGCAACTATAGAAAGTATTTTCCATAATATCTCACACTTTTGGAGTGAAAGGATGTTTGTCTCAGGGAAATGTAACTTTTTTTATGAAAATAGTTGTCTACTATTAACCACATATTATGAGAAAATGATTTTATATGAAAATAGTCAACTATTGTCATATAATTACCATTGTGACCCCTTCCAAGACACCTGCTGCAAAGCCTTGCCGCATTCCTCAAATTTCTTTGTGTCATTCAAACGAATTGGATCAACCACATTTCAACCACAAAGTAGCCAACTATGACTCATTATAAAAAAGGCTGACTATGTTACAAACACTACATAGTTGACTATGTTACCTTCATTTCTCCTCGGGATAAGATCTTTATTTTCTTTGGTTGACCATGTGGTCAGCGCATTAATGGGGGAAGTAGTTCCGAATCACCAGAACATACATGAGTAGGAATTGGGTGGAAAGGTCTTTCATAAAGGGATCTTCAAAAACTGGTTTTGCACCTCTCCCATAAGCTTCTAATTTGCAATGTTGTTGTAAGAAGATAACTTGTTATGTACACCTCTCCTTTTTTTGTTGTAAACTTCATACTCATCGTGGCCGACAACAACCACCTATATTTTAAACATAGTCATCTATTAGTAGTTGTCTACTATAAATATATGAACACAACCAATAAAAGAATTAGAATTGAAAATAACATATATACTTAAGTGATAGGTGACTACTTGGTATATGTCTATTTACCTTCAACTTGGTGCAACCATAGAAAGTATCGTCCATAATGTCTCATAATTTTAGAATGAAAGGGTGTTCGTCTGAGGTGGATGCAATTATTTATGAAAATAGTCGTCTACTACATAATTGCATACTCTAAGTAAATGATTTTTTTAATAAAAATAATCAATTATGCCATAGAGTTAGCTTAGATTTTAAATGATTTGAGGATAAAAACACCGTGCATAAAAGAAGAGAGAAACAGAGAAGAAAATGATGAGAAGAATAACAGAGAGGAAGAGCAGAATGGTGGAAAGAGAAAAGAAAAATTAACTTAGTCCTACATACACATTATAAAACGACAATAAATATTGATGTTGGTTAAATTTTTCGCTGCTATTGTTTAAAGAAGCAGGTAAAATTTACGTCTTTATAAGTTTTGTGATCCCATATCATGTCAGAAAAAAGTTTTTTCCAGAATTAAAGAATAAAGAGTATTCAGTCTTTTCCACTTACTTTTTGTTGTTGACTTGTGTTATGCAGTGAATTGACTGTTTTTTATAGTAGATAGTTAATTTGCTCATCAGAAAATATTATTGGTGCAAATCATCTTAAAATATATTTAGAAAAAGGTGGATTAGTTTGAGAATTTTTCGATAAGAAAGTAGATAATTTAAAAATAATTTTCATTAAATTATAATTCGCAAACTAGAGTTTTGGTCAGTCTAGAGTTGTGTCTTATCCTGTTTATTCGATTGCAGTTTGGATTTTGGTTTTGGAAATTATTCGGTTGATGTAGAATGTAATTTAGATGCTGGAAATTATTCGAATACCACTCTGTTCAGTATTATACGATTTCGGTGCCGAATCAATTTCTAAGAAGATTTTAGATTTGTTTATTCAAAAAATAAAAAATCTAGGTACTGAATGAACGTTGTTATTTTTCGGTTTCGGTTATGTTTTGTTTTTTTCTTTTTTTTAGCCTTAGGTTATTGTTTTGTTCAGATACGTAAAAACCAAACCAAGTCTCTTTCGCTCAATTATCATAACAAATTGGTTTTTCTGGTTCGGTTTGTAACATTGATTGAATTTATTATAACCGGAACAGATCACACGAGGATTGGAAATGGAAGGAAGAAAACAGATTGTGTTAACCGGACATTCAACCGGCGGCGCGTTGGCCGCTCTCACCGCACTTTGGCTTCTCTCCCAACCGTCTCCGCCATCATTCCGCCTCCTCTGCATCACCTTTGGCTCACCTTTACTTGGAAACCAAACTCTATCTTCCTCAATCTCTCGATCTCGTTTAGCCCACAAATTCTGCCACGTGGTCTCCATCCATGACCTCGTTCCCAGGAGAAGCAGTGAACAGTTCTGGCCCTTTGGAACCTATCTCTTCTGTTCCGACAATGGAGGTGTCTGCTTAGACAATGCTGCTTCAGTTCGTGGGATGCTTCACTGGACAGGAACTCCAAACATTGAGGAACATCAAAGGTACGGACATTACGTGTCCTCGCTCTCCCATCAGTTTCTCATATCTAGGAGCTTTCGTGGTGGGAACATCTCCGACAATAGCTACCAAGCTGGCGTCGCATTAGCCTTAGAATCTCTAGGAATCTCCAATGATGTCCCAAGTGGTGTATCAGCAAAAGAATGCATAGAAACGTCTACAAGAATTGGTCGTGCTCCAATTTTGAGGTCGAGCGAGTTAGCTATTGAGCTTGGTAATGTCTTGCCATCGAGACTAGAGATTCAATGGTACAAAGAAAGTTGCGACGCGTCACCAAAGCAGCTCGGTTACTACGATACTTTCAAACTATATTCAAATCAAAGAGAGATGAGGGTGAACCTGAGTCGTGCAAAGCTAGCTAAATTTTGGGACAGAGTGTTTGAAATGGTGGAGAAGAATGAGTTGCCTTTTGATTTTCATCTGGGAAAGAAATGGGTATATGCATCGCAGTTTTACCAACTCTTAGCCGAACCACTAGACATTGCATACTTCTGCAAGTACATATATTCAAGGGCTAAAGGTCATTACATGGAGAATGGGAATAGACCCAAAAGGTATGTAGTGATTGATAAGTGGTGGAAAGGAAGAGGAGAGCCTAATAAAGAGACGCGTGCAAGAACTCGATATGCGAGCACTACGCAGGATACTTGCTTTTGGGCTAAGCTTGAGGAAGCAAAAGACTATTTGGATGAGATGAGAAGCGAGAGTAGCGATGCGCAAAGGCGATATTTGTTATGGGAAAAGATTGTTGCATTTGAAAGCTATGCGGATACATTGGTGACGATGAAGGAAGCTTCGGTTGATGTTTTGGTAAAAAAGTCGAGTTACAGTGTGTGGGTGGAGAATCTTAGAGAGTTCAAGTTCAAAATGGGTAATGGAATTGAGATGGCTGTTGATGAGAGTGACGCAATGGAGACTTAATTAGCAGGGTTAATAGCAAATCTAATTTATGATTATATAACAATCTTTATTAATTGTTGTTCATTATGTTTGTGTAAGACTTTCTGTTGTATGTTTTTATTTTAAAACCTTTATCATTACTGCTCAACAAGTTTATGCAAGAGTTTCTAATGTAAGCTCTCTAAAACTCAAATGTAGCATGGATCATGGATGTGTGATGTAATCTATAATCTCCGCATATATTATAAGGTAAGCTGATTTTCAGGAGGATTTGAAATACTCACATAGGATTCTTGGAGATTGCTAGAAAACACATGATCCAAGAAGCTCCTTTTCCCATTCAGATTTTCCTTCCCAAGTATCTTTTTTGTGGGTAAATAATCACATAAATCAAGTCAGAGTATCAATACAATGAAATAAAGACGGTCCTTGCACTTTGTTCTACAAAACTTGTGCTTTCTTGTTTCACCCTCGCTTAGTCTCTTTTCTTAGTTTCCTTCTATTTTCAGCTCGCTATGGATACCTTACATATATACTATAATGATATGAGTTTATACATATTAATACAAGTTCTGATTTTTAACGGCTTTGACCTAATCTCTATCGTCCTCAAATACAAGTTTCTTCGTGTGGGTCTAAATTAATATATTCATAAAAATATGAATATTGAATATAATTTGATTTTACATTTTATTAAGAAAAATAGACGTACTGTATTTAACTATTTATGACGAAAAAAAAACCAAAAAGACGTCATATATAATATGTATATACTACTAGTAGATAGTAATCGTGCAGTCTCCATTAACTAAGCCGTACAAATAGCTCAATGTACACCAAATAACTCATCCCTCCCAAGAGCCCATAGGCTTCTTAGTTCGCTTCGAAACAATCTCCAAGACTATTTATTAAATAACCATTTTCTAATTCTCATCTAATTAGTTAAACATATCAAAGATTCAAAACCCTTAAACCTGTCTCCCCCAAGAAGCAACAGTGAGTGCACCCTTACGAGGCAATTGCTCCCCAACACTTCCTCCACTCTCCAGCCCCCACGTGTCACAACCTCTCCACATGCACAAACTCACACGCTCATTCATGCATGCGTATATAATACATTCTTTTCCCGAGAGAGAATAGAGAAGAAAGAGAGAGAGATATGGAGAGAACAGAGGCCGTGACCTCATCGTTTATATGGCGGCCAAACGCAAACGCAAACGCGGAGATAACGCCGAGCTGTCCAAGATGTGGCTCCTCCAACACAAAGTTCTGTTACTACAACAACTATAGCCTCACTCAGCCTCGCTACTTCTGCAAAGGCTGCCGCAGATATTGGACCAAAGGTGGGTCCCTACGCAACGTGCCCGTAGGCGGTGGCTGCCGCAAATCCCGCCGCCCAAAATCCTCCTCGAGTAACGCTAAAACTGGCCTAACCGCTAATTCTTGCAGCTCCGGTGGTGGCTCACCAAGCATCGATCTTGCTCTTGTTTACGCCAATTTCTTGAACCCAAAGCATGACGAACCCACACAAGAAAACTGCGATTTAGCCACCGCCACAGATTTTCTAGTCGATCTTCCTACAGAAGCTTTGATGGAAACCTCATGGAGTATGGACATCAATGATGGTCATCATCAAAACTATGATCATCAAGTGGAACACACTGTGGAGGAATGTGGTTATAATGGATTGCCTCCATTTCCTGGTGAAGAACTTCTTTCTATAGACACTAATGGTGTTTGGTCTGATGCTTTGTTGATTGGTCATAATCATGTCGACGTTGGTGGTGTGACTCCGACTCAGGCTGTGCATGAACCGGCGGTTCATTTTGCTGACGAATCCAATGACTCCACCAACCTCTTGTTCGGAAGTTGGAGCCCTTTTGATTTCTCAACCGATGGATGATCCTAATTGTTTTCATTAAAAAAAGAGTTTGTATTGTACCTATTATACATAAGATATACACATTTATATGAAATCAGATGGATCATTAATTTCATGTAATTAAAAGAGTCGATAATTTAAGTACAAACCTAAGGGGTAATATGTATACGTAGGCTATAGAATTTTTTTTTTTTGTTTTTTTTTGTGTTCGTTTGTTGGTGATTGTCGACCTATATGATGCTATAATTAGTCGTTTTCAAGAGTTGCCAAAGAATCCCACGTGGGAGGTCCTTGTCTTTGGATTCGATTGAGATTTGCTTGTTATTTGAACTTGCAATTCACTGAAAGTGAGACGCACGTGTACCACGGGTTCACGTGTGAGCCTTTGTAGTATCTCTGGCCTCTGTGTGTGGGTGTAGATCCTTCTCAAAAAGGAAGTGTCAGAGAAAGAGCATAATTGTTCCTACTCTTGGTTTAACTCCTTTCTACAAATTTTTAATTAATCTTTTATTGCCAACAGACTTATATTATAGTTCGGGATTACGTAAATGCCATCCATTGAAAAAGGTTATTTTTATAGAAGAAAAGTAAATTTATATGTGTGTATAGAAATTAAATTTACATGTGTGTATAGAAACTAAATTTATTTGTGTGTATAGAAGTAGGAAAAAAAAACAGCAGGACCAACTCGTTAGTCGTGACTAGTCAGATTATCTTATTAGTTATTCAACATGTTATTTGTCATGACTCACAAGTTGGCCCGTCAAACTCATGAGGATTAGTCCATCTACATGTGAAACCCAAATTCTGTATGAATTGAATAGCTCTAAACATACAATAACTCATGAGTACGTACTTAGGACTCATTAATTTAATCCTTATACAATTTATCTCACCAAGAATGAAGAAAGAAGTTTATTATAGAAACAAAGAACAAGAATGAACCTCGCCGCCATAAACACCCACCTTCAGCAGATTTTTTAATGTTTTTGGTCGTTTCTCATAAGTTTAGTTACACAATATTAATAAGCTTATTATAGTAAACTTTTATATTTACATATGTATTAGGGCACTTAAAAGAGAGAATTAAATTGTTTAAAGAGAGGGAAAAAAGGGAATATAGATTTGGTGAACTAGAATAGAGGAAATTATGCAAGTTGTGTACTCAGAGGTATAGGCAAAGAAGTTAACTTGGAAAGTTGTTTAATGTCGAGCTTCGTACGTCACGCACGTTCCCATACATCTCCGCTTGATCCAAGAAAAATAGTAAACTCTAATTACTGTAGCAAACAGTTATGCATTCAAATTATTTTTTAACTAATAATCCAATATTTGCCTGTCTCAAGTCTTCTCCAAGTAAAATAAAAGTTCTTTGTTATTTGTATATAGTTAGTAAGCATCGAAACGTATGTGAAAACAAATATTTTAACTAGTAAAACTAAATTTAAAGTACTTTTTGTTGTTGTTTGTCTTCTCATATCATCAGAAGTATTTGATTTTATAATGATCTTATCATATTATAAATCTAACTATCTATAACATATGCAATCACATTAAACGGTTCTATTGACATGCGGCTTTCCCCACAATACATGGATCCCTTATGAACAATTCTACTTATTTTAAATCCAAAATAAACAATTTAATCCGTAATACACAAGACCACAATTCACGAACAACGACTACTTATAAGTACACACTAGAAACTCTAATAAGATTTGTAACTATAATCCGTAAAAATTGTTCTATCTGAGAATTCAAATTCAAAAAAGGTGTAATTAATATGATTCATAATTTGATCATCCAGTTGACCAAAAGGCGTCCACAGAAATAAAAACAATTATGAAATATATTTTATATTATATATCTAACAAACTATATAATTAGTAAATTAAAATTCATATTAAACGTAATTTGAACTATTTACCATTAAATTGTATAATATGTTTAAACATTAAAGTTTAACATCAGGTCATAAATTGTCAGTTGCGCATGCTTTATCGAAGTCAGAATTAATTTATAACTATACATCACAAATACACACACATTACATAATTTACATATATATATATATATTATATAATACTCTCGATGATAAATTAACATGTAGCAATATCAGTACTTAAAAAAGCTATTGAAAAGTCTGAGATGAGGCTTCGAATGATGCTTTTAATACATAGAGCGAAGACAAGTAAAATTAGGTTTTCATGTCTTGATTATATTTTCTCTCTAAAATAGATAGGTTGCGTTGAAACGTTGAGAATGAAGGCGATGTTACACATTCTTCTTATATCCACATGATGAATTGCATAGTCAGATCAAAAGCGCTATGATATTCAGACCAAAGTCAGTCAAAGACTTATCAAAGTATATATTTTGAAATCCATGTATATTCCTCAACGGTTTAAATTTACTAACTTTGAAACGAAATAATAGATCTCCCTTTCATCAAGTTGGTTTGAAAAAATTTCTCACATATAACGACGATCAGTACTTACGAAATAAACATTAATATATATAGATCACATAAATGTGGCTTATAAGGAACTGGTTTATTAATGAAACGAAAAATTAAGCTTAAAACAAAGAAACGGATGGAATATCTTCTTATACAAGAATTTTTCGATCATGAAACTAGCTTTCTTGTACAACTTCATAAAATATAAAAAAAAGATTCAATCTACAGGTCAAGATGAAAAGATCCTACATATGCTATCTACGTGATTGTGAGCCTGAATCAGAGTGGGATCATCTGATTGAGTTTTCGGACTGTCTTTGTCAAGACAGCCTTATGATTGCAAGTGAAGTGAGCAATCCATACTAGATCTTTAGAGGTGATCTATCGTGTGTTTAGTACGAGTATGAACGTGTTTAAAATTAGCTATATAGGCTTTAATTTGCTTTTGGGAAAGCTTGTATATTATAAATCGACGAACCAATATAATGTCTTTTGTTCTATTTTCTTGGTTATTGATTCGAACCAGTAATGTAGAATGACCTGAAGGACGTGATGGCTCCCATATATTATAAGATAATAATATTATTTTAGGGTTAGCTGATTCATCGAAAAGGCAGGTCATAGGGCTAATCTTGAATAGAAACCCAATCTCACTTACTTTGAATATCATGACTTTATTTCTAATGGGAATTGAACTCATAGCATAAAACTCACTCTTTTTTAAAAAAAAAATAATAATAATTCACCATTAGACCACGACAAATCACGGTTATGTTTTTTACTTTTTGTTGACAAAAAAACAATAGGAGACAGAGTCAAACTTAAAAATCTTCATGGTTTAAATTGGTAATCTTACGGAATGCGAAAAAAAATTTGCGGAATAGATTAATCTATTTATAAGTCGTTTTTCTGTGAAATGATTTTTATTTTGTATTTTTATTAAACAAAAATGCAGTCTGCATTTTTATGTGTATTTTTCTATTATGTGGATTTTTGTTAATTGATAAAAAATCTGCGAAATTTTATTTAAAAACGTAATTCCGCCATTGTTACCAATCAGAGCCTATGTTATCAAACGTGTCGACTGGTCCTTATACATGATTTTTTTTTTCCTTATACATGATTTGAACATTGCATGAGATTCACTAAATCAGTAGATTTTAAGTTCTTAACCATATGTATGCACAGTATGCATTGTTTATCACACAGATGTGTGTATGTCACGCGCGTATATTTTTAAAAAATGTAATTGACAACTATATCTATTTTTTTCTCTCCATACCACCGTTTAAATAACTGCAAGTGGTGGTCGAGGGAGGACCAGCTTCGTATTTTTTTCTTTTAATAGTTCTTTCTAGATTGCGACATGGTTGCTCGTAAGATCTGACTTTTGATTTATGACATTTATTATATACAACTAAATATAAGTATTTTGAAACAAATAATACAGGTTTATAACATATGCAAGTCCCTTATATTTAATGTGAGTCATATAGACAGCCATATAGTAAGAATGCCGGTCAGCTGCTCCTGTTTTTTTCCTTTTTTTTTCTAATCGGGTAATTATTAACGGATTCTTAAATCACTTAATTATCAATTAAAAAGTAGCATCAAATATATCGCCATGATACAATTTGATATTTAATTTGGACTCGCATGAACCAATCCTTCACAAACAAAGAATAACACTGTAGATGGACCACGACCATTACTTGTCATGTGTGTTACACACTTACACTTCTGTTCAATCTTAACATATGCTGTTATTTCTTATGCGTATGTCAACTTCTAAATATTATCTTCTTTGATTGTTTTTCTTTCTTTAATATGTTTTGCATGTTCTGAAATTTACTTGTATCAGATATAGAGCAGGTTAAATTCTTAAACAATATCCAAATAAATTAATTATTTATGTCAAACTTTAGGAATTAGCCGCGTGGTGGCTTAGTGGTAACTTTCTCGAAACAAGACATAAATTCGGTTTGCTGATAAAAAAAAAGACATAAAATTCGGTTAAATTCAATTCTCGTTAAAAACGATTTAACTGGATGTTTAGAAAGCTGGAACTAACTTTAGCCCTGCTGAAGAATGTCCATTAGATTGGTTTTCTTGGTCGGATTAAATAGTTTGCCCCCGAAATTTGTCGGGTTCGTTTATATTATTGACTGAATGTGTTGTTTTCATCCTACGATATACCTTGAACCTCATATCCTTCAAATTTGGTGTTTGTTTCAAACAACCTAACGTTCTATACAGAAATTAAAACCTTAGGATTTAAATCTTTTATATTGAACTAATAGTCAAGTATCCCCATTAATATTTATCTCACGTAAAACGACACAGTACTCGTGTTCCCACCAAGACCATGTTCCCTAAGTGCTAGAACCGAGGTATATAGATACAGAGATTCTTGCTATATGAAATTGCAATAACGTGCTTTGGATCTCCAGAAACACATTATTCTGAATGCAAAGTTTATTTTTTTAGTTTGTTTCATAAATATATATTTTTTAAGTTTTGGTTTAGATTTTCAGATCTCGTCCTTTTCCTGATCTATATCGATATTGAGATGTCTAAAAATCGTTAGATTGTGCATTTTGTCTTAGAGTTTTCGGAAATAATTTCCACGTTTAGTCTAAAATGATTTTGAGCTGAATGACCTGAAAATTAAATGATTTCAGTATCTCACGACGAGTGATAGTAAAAGCACATATGAAAGATTTTGGTATCGACAAAATCAGATAACAAATCTTAAGAATTGCTAAATAAAAAATTAGTCGTCGGTTGAAAGCATGATACATGTCGTCGAAGTCGATATAAAAATAATGGAACCCATACATAAATGATAAACCGTAATAATTAGTGGGGTTAGATACCTAAAAATGTTGAACATAGGGATATAAACATGAAACATCCGTAATGTTACTTCCAAGGACATAAATAGGCAAAATTAAACGTTACATATGAGTCTCATGTGACACGATGGATACCGCATACATATCTCTTAAAATAACTGTGATGCAATCTTTTAGGTTATCCACTCAATAATATGAGAAGTTGAAAGAGATGGTCTCCATTATTTTTGTGGAAGTGAATGAAATAAAAGAATACAAATCAATATGCGCCTCTATCAACAATGAACAAGCAAGTGGGAAACAATAACCATGTAACTTGTGATTCCATTTATTTCTCTGCAGTTTCTCATAATTTCATGAATATATCCCCTATTATCTACAAATTCTACATGATGATGAGCTTTTGAAAAATATAACCAAAACAAAAGAGAGAACCTGAATTTGAGCAAAAATAAACCACTCAATTTTTTTTAATGAAATTATAGGAAGAATAACTCTCAAAGAATTATTTGTATCTGATGAGAATTAATTAAACATGTTCGTTGTTTTATGTTGCCGTTCAAGCAGGATATGAAGCATACAAATTTCTTGGGACACAAGGTGATTCCCTCCAAACCCTAGCGTGAAGCTTAAGCAACTCCTTCGCCTTTTCCTTAGTCTTGTTCCCGCAACTCACTTGAAGCACCAAACACATCTTCGCCACAACTCCCAATTGTAACATCTCCTGTAACAAACACGGTGTTGCGCAAAACCTCCCAATGGAAAGCAAAACCCTAACCGCCCTCTCGCTAGTTATCTGTGAGACCCTCAATATCTTCTTAGACACAACCGCAATAGCCGCACCATGATTCAAGAACTCAGCTCTTCCTTCTGCACATTGACATAACATATCAAGTACCACCATCGCCATCTCCGAATTCCTTCTCTCGGATGAGAAAGTTTCATCCATTAGAAGCTCGATTATCATCGAGATCGCTCCAGCTTCCACAGCCTTGTGTCTATTCCTTCCCCATGGACATATAATCACCAAGATTTGCATTGCTGATTTCGTTGCCTTGTGAGAGATCTGGTCATGCAAGATCTGAACCACTTCATTGAAAAGCTCACGTTCCAACAGTATGATCTGCATTGGATCCGCAACTTCGAGAATCTTCTTGAGAAGCAAAGTCGCATAGGCTCTTGACTCGTAGATCCCACGTTGCATTATCTTAGTCAACGTCTTCACAAGATTTGTTTCCTTCTTGTTGTTTAAAAGACTCTTGCGGGCTGTCTCCGACGTGTCGAGATGGTAGAGTAAGCTTAAAGCTTCGTCCATTAAGCTCCTCGAAGAATCGAACCGATTCTCCAACATGTTTGATTGACACAAGTCGTTGAGATTCGATGAAGAAAGGGAAGGAGAAGGAGAGTTGTAAGTATCTACGGAGCTGCTGACGATCTTTGCCAAGAACTCGGGAACTTCTGCAGCTTCTAAGCATCGTTTGTTCGTTGTGTTCTCCGTCACTATTTGACGAAGTCTTTTGAGGCATTTGACTTGGTTTTGATGTGAGGATGAAGAATCTTTGATGAGCTTTTCGATCTCGTATTTACAGATCGGAGGCTTTGGAGTTGGGATTCTCTCGATACCGTAAGATGCGTTGAGAGTACACCAAGATTGGATCAGACGGCGAAGAGTGTGGTTTGGTGTGAGATCGGTTTCGGTTATGGCTTGTTTTGTGACCGGACATGAGTTTTTCTTACCGGTGAAGAGCCATTTCTCGATGCTGTCTCTGTCGTAGGTTATTCCGGTGGAAACTATCACCGGATCCTTCATAATATCTAGAGAGATCGGACATAGGAAGAAAGAAGGAATCTCTATCTCTTGATCCATTGAACTCGCCGGAAATATGAAAAGAAAAAGAAGTAAAACTTGATTAAGAAATCGACCGACGAACGAATCTCACAAAATGAAACTTTTGCTACAAAGTGTAGTTGTTGAGATTTGTGAGAGATGTGAATTGGTTTGAATAAGTTAGCAAGAAGAGAGAAGGAGAGTTGGGGTTTTAAATATAAAGGGAGAGGAGAAATATTCAGAGTTATTACAAAAGTCAAAACACGGAATATACAAAATTTTGTATACTCTTTTTTGGATAGCTGTCCGTATTTATTATTTTTTATAGAACGAACGAGGAACGTACAATATAGATTTGACTTTTTTTTTTTTGAATGTGGTGTAACAAAAGGCTAAGTAATAAATGCTTTTTCTAAAGAAAAAATTAAAGTGAGGCGTATTAAGAGTGTTGACTTGTCAAAGAGATGCGATTACGGCGAAGAAAGTGTAAATAGTAACGAAGTCATTGGGGGATTGGTCGTGCCGGTGTTGAAGACAAGTAGTTTGTCTGCCTTGTGTTTCGTTTTTACTCACATGCCTTGATTGCTGATTCTTCTCCTCTCTTTTTATTTTATTTTGCCATCACTATTTGACTTTTTTTTTTCTTCTTCTTTTTATTCCAACAAAAATACTAAATTGGCAGGCTTATTTCAAAACTACTGTTGCAACTGAAAGTAGAAGAAGATAATTGGGTTTATGTCAACGAAAACACGATTATTGTTTTCTTTTTGGGGGTGATGTACTTAAATTTTTGGTGCCGACAAAACCTAAAGTGCCATTAACGGTCCGTCGTTGGATATTTACTTTGTTTCAGGCTGCAACTTTGATGATACATTTAGACCCATACTCCTTGTTATGCTCTATTTTTTATTTTTTTGGTTCTAGTTCCCTCCACAATATTTTGGATATTGGCTATTTTTAAGTTCATTTTTAAGTGCACTTTGGATATAAAAAAATGGCTATCAATTATAAAATAAAAAGGCTATTAACAACAAATTATCCGAAATTTATCAAAATATTTAATGGAATGTAAGATAAAAAATGTATTCATTTAGATGTCTAGTACATGGTTAAATAATAATGTAGAGCTCTACAAAATAATAGATCACATAAATGTCCTCATTAAATTTATCATAGTTTGTTAACAAAGTTTTTTTTATCATAGTGTGAAAAGTAATATCATCCGCTCCACATCAGTTATAATTGAAATAAACGGCTAAAATCTCCATTTTATAAATTAATCATCTACATAAAAATAAATGTAGCAACTTGTAAAATTAATGAAACGTAGTTTTATGAATAACGATAGATTCATTCCTCAAATATTCCTGCAAATTTTGTCGTTCTTTCAGTTTTTAAGTGAAGTGAATTGAGTTTATTTTCCATACCTATTTAGAAAAATGTTTAATATCATCAACTTTATTCCATCCATATAGTAAAAAATTATAAGAACCATTTGCGCATGTACATGTTACATGAAAAATCTCTCTCTCGCAACATTTAAGTGCTAGAAGGTATACCCTTTGTAAAAAAAAAAAATCGTCATAGTTATTGGTATGTAGTGAAATACTATAAATTAAACTTAAGAAATTTTATCAAGCTAACAGCAAAGGTTATGAACGTCGACTCATTACAGGTTGCTCTTGCCACCGCAGATTTAACATAATACTTTCAGGGATGTAAGTGATTTTTTTTTTGTGAGGTCCATATGAAAGCGAAAGCATATAACAACATGTTTCTCATAACAAAATACCAAAAGTGTGATGTATTCTTTCGACGAGAAATCAACTTGCTATTGCTAGATACTACTTTGGGTTTCCAAAAGTGTGATGTAGTTGTGATAAAATTTGAATACATTAGTTAAAAATGTTAAACAATATGTTTTATAGCTTCAATAAGAAATAAAATCGTGGTAGAACGTTTAGGTGAAGTATGAAAATAGCTGAAATTTATATCAAAATTGGGAAAATACTTAAGTTTTTAAGTAACAAATTATTTAAAGATCTAAACTCTGGAAATCCAAAAAATTCTAAATGCTTTGAGGAAAAAAAAGAAGATAAACTAAAAACCTTAAATCCTAAACTCTCCCCCTTAAATACAATCCTTCACTTTACAATCTAAACAAAATGTTTCATTACCTCAATTTTCAAAGACTGAGCAAACAAATGTTCATTTCTCTCCTTTTTGCAACAAATAAATTATTCTATAAAGTAATTACAAAACGTTCTTCTGTGGTAACCTTATTATAAATATCTTGAAGTAATAGAATGAAAAATTTATAATCAGTTTTCCGCTTCTTGAAAAATATATGAAGAAAGATCATCCATAACTTTTGAAAAAATTAGCTGGCTATCCTCAGTACTTCTAATTTCTAAGATTACATCTGATCTGATGCTTCTTTTGTCACTTAACTTCTGGGGTCCTTCATGATTGATTTAAGCCATAACTTTTTTTACATGGTCACTTTTAGTCTTTTCTATACCTATGTTTCTGTTTATTTCTAGCTCATTTGAGCTAACAATAGAAACTCATCTTTTTTATGATTATGAAAATTTGAAGATATGATTAAAAATTATGACAGAAGTAAACTATTTCCGTTTTATTTGTCGACGAAGATATTATAGGGAAATAGAAATAAGATAGGCAACTCATGAGCACGATCCAAAGGCCAGAATCATGAACAATTGGCAACTATGCTACTAATCAGGGATTCAACTTCAATATAATAATACAATATAGAGGTATATTTATCTGAGTTATGACAAATAGCTCTTTCCCATTCTTTGGTTGGTGGTCATCTATTACACAGCCAATAAGATAGAAATTTAAGCATATAAATACATATACGTATAAAGATTATAATATATTTGATTTAATTAATTAGTTAATTCCTTGATTCAAGTGTACGTAGAAGAGGATGTTTATTTAAATAGATGCCAGTTCCAAACAGTTAGCCACGCCGACTTGATTTAACAAAAAAATCCAATACTGTGACATAATCAATAAGTTAGAAGAATATTTGATAAAAATATTCATTAGGTAAAAGTAAAAGATATTATGATTTTCTATAATCAAAGAAGTGATGGTTTCTGGCTGGTAATTCGTAGAACTATGTTTTATATAAGCTATTTAACGTTTTTGTCAGTGGAATGACAAAATCAAACATTTTATTTTCTTAAAAAGCCACCGACCGTATTGTTTACATCAAAATCAAAATGTTATTTTCTTTAATTTTAATTTTTTTTTTGAATGAGTGATCGAGATGAAGACCAATGGTTAATTGAGAAGTCATGAGTCTAAAGACACAAAACCCACACATCTCCGATAAACTAAAACCATTTATAAACAAGGATTCAAACCCTAATTTATTAAGCACAGTTTTTTTCAGAAGATAAAAAACCAACAAAATTATCTATACTCTGATGCTTTGTAATACAATGTAACCATTGAAATATATTTACTATGATATCATTCCGTAGTTATTGCTTATTATGTAAGTTTATATGCTAGTCACTAATCAGTTTAACTCTCTCTTTAACAACCCAAATAAAATTTCCTGACATTTGCAAACCGAATATCGCTGCTGACACAGATGCTTAATAATCTAGATTTAGATCCGGAACGAATATCAAGGTATCAAATTCGTCCCACCGTATTAACTTAAGACCAAAAAACGTGAATATTAACTTCCTGATGAGGACGAATTAATGTGAACAACTACCTGATCAAACTTTTTATTAGTTCCCACTAAACGGTCAAAAAATGACCAATACGTAAAGAAACAAGCGGCCGGTTTAAAATTAGTTATTAAAATGACTTTGTCTTTTTTGCCAATAAAAAAACGTTTCGATCTAAAGAGATCGATGACTTGTCCTTCTTTGACAAAATGAAAAATAACCATACTCTATACTTTTGGCCATGACATGGGACAATGTTAAAACCGGTGCAGATATCTATAAAAATAACATTAAGTCAATTAGGCATTATCATGTACGAATGTATTTTAATTTTCATAGTAGATATTGAAGCTGATAATGTAGTTATTATTATGGCAAGTTGGGAAATGGAAAGCATGGTCTCTCTTGCTGTTGATTTATTCTGTATAATTTTTGTACGTTCAGATAATCATTGAAGTAGTCTGATGCAAGTTGATAGGTAATTCAAGTCTTAACCCCATAAGATATATTTTTCCACGGTAGAATGTGTAAGTACGTAGCACGTTAAAAAAATACAAATTATGTATAACGAGAGATGAGTTACATAACATAGGACCAAAAAAGGTGATGAAGTGTATACAGCTAGAAGCCGTAAAAAGTGGTCAGAAAATAGACAGCTTCATACAGGCTACCACATGGGATTTTGGATAAGAAAAAGAAATGTTGGACCTCAGATTATTATCGGCTATTCTAAACCTTCCTGGCCACATAATTTTTTTTTTCTTGTTTGAATTCTTCCAAAAAGAAAGGGGGTTGAAGTACAAGATTCGAGAAAGTTAATTGGTTATAACATATAATGTTAGTTATGTAGTTATTTATACATGCGTGCTGTATATCATACTAAAGTGTTGTTTCTGATGATTTTGTCATGGTTGTGTTGTAACTTGTGATACCATTTACAAATGTCAAACATTCGACACGATGGTCAACATGGATAAACATAATTAAAATTATATATGGATAGCTTCTTCTAGTGATCAATAGGTCGAGGGAGGAGATTAAAAATGTAATGCCCCTATTAAAAATCCTAACCTCACATTTGTGAGATCGGGTAATACAGCGATTGCGTTATAACAACAAAAGAAAAAGAAAACAGAAAAAACTTCTACAAAGCCCATTTAAGACACTTTGAATGTCTGTATAAACTAAGGCCAAACTCCTGAAGGGAATATCACAACGTTTATTATCATCATTAAGCAACGAACGCAGAAGATTAATTAGTTAATAAGTACGCTAAACTTGATTCAATGTCGAGAATTACGAACAATAAAGAGAGATTAGATTAATGTATAAAGAAACTCCCAAAAATTTCTATCTAATCTCCTCGCAAGTCTTGTTTCTTGTTCTCTAAGTTATCTAAAATTCCACTGTTTTGGTAAATATTATGGACACATGCTCTTCCTCAAAAGCATCCCTAAGATGTAACAACTAACAAGTAGTTAGCTTCAAAGATTTGTCTTGGCTTGGCAATATCAGTGGGAATAGGAAGTGAAATACTATACTAAGAACATCTTCTCCATCATCGTTACAAGTTACCAATTCACCTGATATCTCTTATGGAAACTTTGAGTAAAAAATGCATTCTACGATCTGCTCAAAAAAAAGAACGATATTTCTCGCTTTGGGAACCAAACCCTAAATCTCCTAATACCCAATTGGTACAATTACGAATGCTATTTTTAGCTCAGCCATGGCAGAATCACTATTTTTATCCAAACTGATTAGTTTTATTCTTTAACCAACAAAAACACCAAAGAAAGAGAAAAATCTTTGATTTAAAGTAAACCTTCGTGCTTTCCACTAACCTCCCTATTTTTTCTCTCCAAATATTTTCCGGAAATTTTGATTAATTTTTCAAGTTTAATCAGAGACTTTAATTGGAGACAAAGGAGAGAGAAAAAAAACACGACAATGCCTTCTCCTCCGGAAGAAGGAACCCAACCCAAAACAGAATCGGGTTCGGGTCAAACCTCCGAACGCGATACCAATCAACCACCATCGCCTCCACCGCAAACGCAACCGCAATCTTCTTACCCGCCGGTTATGGGCTTTCCAGGTTACCATCAAGCCCCATACCCAAATTATCCAAACGCACCTTACAATCATCAACAATACGCCTACGCGCAAGCCCCACCCGCTTCATATTACGGGTCATCTTACCCGGCCCAACAAAATCCGGTTTACCAGAGACCCGCTCCGTCCGGCTTCTTCAGAGGAATCCTCGCCGGTTTAGTCGTTTTAGTCGTCCTCCTCTGCATCTCCACCACCATAACCTGGCTCGTCCTCCGTCCTCAGATCCCGGTTTTCTCCGTAACCAATTTCTCAGTTTCTAATTTCAACGTAACCGGACCGGTTTTCTCCGCCCAGTGGACGGCTAACCTCACCGTGGAGAATCCAAACTCGAAATTGAAAGGCTACTTCGATCGAATCCAAGGGTTCATCTACAACCAAAACGCGATCGGAGAAGACGATTTCTTAGCGAAGGCGTTTTTCCAGCCGGTTTACGTGGAGACGAAGAAATCGGTTTCGATCGGAGAAACCCTAACGGCGGGAGAAAAAGAACAGCCGAAAGTGCCGAGCTGGGTCGGAGAAGAGATGAAGAAAGAGAGAGAAACCGGAACGGTGTCGTTTGATCTGAGAATGGCGGTTTGGGTCACTTTCAAGACGGAAGGTTGGTCGGCGCGTGAGAGTGGGCTTAAGGTGTTTTGTGGGAAGTTGAAAGTTGCGTTTGAAGGAGCCTCAGGGAACGGTGCCGCTTTGTTGCCTAAGCCTCTTCCTTGTTTGGTTTACGTTTGATTCTTCTTCCTCGACATTTTCTTGCCACTTAACGTCTCTTGTAATGTTTGATTGTTGTTTACGTTAGCTAAAGAAATGTTTGGTTGCTTATTATGCAAATTCCATAGAAATCTCATAAACCAAGTTTAATAAGCAAAAAAAAACTAGATTTAATTGCAGAATCGAGCTCGAGAAAAAGAATTATTTTTGCTATTTAATCAAACAGTCGATTGTCGATAAATTGTGTGTTGAAATAAAAAGAGTATCAAAGAGACTGAGTGCGTCACGAATAAAGATACTTGTGTATACTATTTGAGAAAGGTTTGGTATATATTTGATGCTAATTGCTTGTTTGTCAATGACTTCCACTTTATAAAGTCGTCTAATTATTCTTATAGCTGTCTAATTTATTTAAAATTTCTCTTGTATTTTTTATATTATGTACAATACAAATGTGATATAAACCTCTAATTCAGATGGGTTTATATGACTCAGTCAATCGATCGACGGACTGTTTGGCTTAGCTTGGTTTATAAGCAAGCAAGAACGATCAAGTGGATTTTGAGGAGATGATCAAGAGATGATCACGGATGGATTGATGGAGTAAGAGGAGTTTAGGCTGGTTTAAGGGCTATTCGCCGAGAATCACAGTTGATGGATGAATGAATGGATTGAGGCTAAATGGACACTACACAATGTTTTTGAACCGCGATACAATCACCGCAAACAGAACCAAAGGGGAAAAATGCACAATGATTTGAACGCATAGTCGCACAATAGTTCAAATGTACATTCACGATTTTGGTAGAAAAAGAGAAACAAATATGAATGGTCTTGGTAAATTAAATTTGAATAGAGGTAACTAGTAACTACAAGTGAAAGCCGCAGGATATAGCCATATAGGACTCTTGGTCTTGGTTCAAAAGAAAATTCGAATTAAATGCTAGAACCAAATCATCAAGGAAGCTAAAAGTAATAAATAATATAGGTGTGGCCGTTGGAGCCTTTGGATATTTGAATTTGAACTTGTCGGTCTGCTTCTTTGTTTGATGGCTCCTAATTTTGAAGGTTGAATAAAGAAAGAGCCTTATGAGCTCTTAAGTAGAAAATGTTGGTTCGCTTAATATGACGTATAAGAAAATGAGTGTTCATTTCCGTTGGGACTCCTCATGAAAACGACATAAAACATCATGTTGGAAACTTCTCCTTTATATAAAGTGTCGGATTGCGTCAAAATGCATAGAGAACTCTCACCTTGTTTGTCTAATGTCTACGTTAAGGGAAAATATATAAAAAACTTCAAATTTCTTTGAATCAACCAGTTGATCATGATAAAATGTGTAGTGGAGTTTAAAAAAATATCAAAGAAATTTGAGTAAATATATCTCTCGAATAAAGAAACTTATTGTTAATAAAATAATCAATCTTTTCTAAAACAAATCAATATATGGTATTTCTTATATACTTTTGAATTAGTATTATGCATATATATACATATATATTAGTGAATAATGAAAAAGTAAACTTCCATAAACTTATGAACAGTCTAATTACTTGTTGCTAAGAACTGTCTACTTGAAAGATAATAAGAGTAAAAGCATAACTAAATCGAGAATGGGACATCGAAGCTAATATAGTATATGCCTATATGGTAAACCAAATGCGATGATCTGAAGTGCACTATCACTCAAACAAGAGGCGACTACTATATCTAAAAAGATGCTTTGTATTTATCTATAGACTATAATGCATAAATTATATAGATTCGTTGGTAATGCGTAATTTAAAGAGGAATAATAGGGTTGGTGCGTTGTCCTTTTGTAATAAACCTAACAAAATGAAAATGTAACGGAGAAAAAGACACTTTGCATTATGATCAAATGTAACTTTAAGAAAGATTCGAAGTCTTTAGTTGAGCTGTGGGGATAGAAGTTGTAGCCTGTAACGTGACCACGTGGTCCCACCCTATAACGAAGGAAAGGCGGAGACGTGTTTTGTTTTCGAGTCAACAGCCTCAATCCGACGCAGACGCAACACAACAAAGGCATTACAATCATGTAAATTACTGTAAACACACATTATAATTGATTGATATATAAGATGATCTATCAAATAATTAGTTACGTCCATATCCTTAAAGATTTATAAATTGTTTGGCAGTGTATCGAATGTTCGGATTTATATTATTCTTTAAGATATTTATATTATTTGTATGGGTTTAGCTTTGCACTCACTGTTGTTCTATAGACGAGTTGGCCATATCAATGAACTGTTTAGGTGGCTAGGACTATGTAACCAATCACCAAAGAAAAGACAGAAACTCAAAAGCCTTTTCTAGTTCCGGTTAAACATAAAATCTTCCGAAGAACCAAAAAAAAAATATATATATATATATATATATCCTAAATAGCCAGTAAAATTTATTTATCCCAAAAGTATTGTCGGTTTTTGAAGAATTAGCCTCCAAGGGTTTATACGATTATATAGGATCAAGCTCAAAGTTGTTTTGCATACATTTCATCAATTTTTGTTTTTCAAAACATTCCAGCCACCTTCACTTTTTCGTCTTGTAAGTTTCTTCCACTAAATCCAATGATTGTTTATTGAGTAATTCATATCAGAATTATGGCAATTTGTTACCCAATCTTGTTATATTTATATATAAAAGGTTTTTAAACACCGACATCAAAGTATGATATAGGCATCGCTATAAACCAAAAACTTTAGTAGAATTTGTTTTCCACGTGGGAACCGTAGATGCCGATTGCCGACCTGCTAATTTTACTTCGAACACAATGAACCACACAATAAGATAGGCATTCACTTTTTTCTGTTTGTTTTAACTTTTAGTAACAAACGAGTTCATCAACTAAACTCAATAATGTAATGACACGTATCTAATTCATAGTTTAAAGTCTCTTTGGGTTTTTATTTTCTCCTTAAAACTGATTTACAAATTTGCAATTGTGTAATAAGAATATATGCACATGCGCCATGTTCTTGCTTCGAATAAAATAATATACTAATCAATAACACCAAAATAGACGCATTTGCATTTTAACCGAATCAATCAATCATGAGGGAAACTTCCATCATCGCAACAAATAAATAAAAATGGACGCGCAAGATAAAAAAAACTCGCTAAATGTCAAAATACCACCACTTCCCAGAAATAATGCATAATATCTGCATACCACATATATCTTGTCCCACTTAATTTATTTATTTTGGGTATACCGATATACGTATAGTGATACACTATATATATACTGTAGTTATTTATTCTGTTTTTCTTCAAACGTATAGTAACAGTGGTATACAATATACAAATCAAAGGTACTACGAAGAGTATATATATTCACACAAAAAAAAAAAAATATTGAAACAGTTTTCTTGAAAAAGCTACGATGAAAACTTAAAATACAAAAAGGTTAATTGGTGTGAGTGTTTAGTCTATAGTCTATGCACAACGCGCATACATTGGCCTTTACACACAATTACAATATAAATAAATACAACCATCTCTCACTCATACACATTTTTTCCTCCCATCATCACTAATTCACTAGTCACGCCCACACAATATAAGAAAAAAGAATAAGAAGAAGGAAGATATCATATTATAGAGAGAGAAAGAGAAGAAGGTACGCCAGTGGCAAAACCGTAAATAAAAGATGTCGAAAGATTGCGGCAACCACGGCGGAGGCAAAGAAGTAGCCGTCCGGCGAATCTGCGGCGCCGTAATCGCCTTCATCATAATAGTCCTAATCACAATCTTCCTAGTTTGGGTCATACTCAGGCCCACAAAGCCCAGATTCATCCTCCAAGACGCCACCGTCTTCGCCTTCAACCTCTCGCAACCAAACCTCCTCACCTCAAACTTCCAAATCACGTTCGCATCTCGAAACCCAAACTCCAAGATCGGAATCTACTACGACCGTCTCCACGTCTACGCTACTTACCGGAACCAGCAGATAACTCTCCGGACGGCGATTCCTCCGACGTATCAAGGCCACAAAGAAGACAACGTTTGGTCTCCGTTTGTTTACGGAACCTCCGTTCCGATCGCTCCGTACAACTCCGTCGCTTTGGGAGACGAGCAAGGACGTGGATTTGTTCAGTTGATGATACGCGCCGATGGGCGCGTGAGGTGGAAAGTGGGGACTTTGATCACCGGAAAATATCATCTCCATGTTCGGTGTCCGGCTTTCATTAATCTTGGAAACAAAGCTGCTGGTGTTCTTGTCGGTGATAACGCCGTTAAGTATACGTTGGTTACTAAATGCAGTGTGAACGTTTAGAACGTTGACGCCGTTAAGTTGTTTTTTTTTTTTAATTTATAATCATATCATTTTCTCTTTTTAAAGAAAGAAATAACCAAACTTCTTCTTCCACCAGCAGGATAATGTTTCTGTTTCACCACCTTTGGTTGTTATTAAGCTTATTGTTGATTACAGAATCATTATTACAATCGGAATTGAATGTAAAGCCACTAAAGTTGAAAATAAATGGAGGATTGGGTCTGGCTCTTTTCTTTTCTTTTTTCCTTCATAATTTTACTCCGTCGTATCATCAGTACTACACTACAATTGTAACCACAAACTAGAAGACAGTAACTCAGTAAGATTTGGTATTTATTGTTTTTGTGTATATACAAAATTTCTAAGCAACAGTATCTAAACTTTAATTTTTCAAGTCGTAAAAAGCACAGTGAAGAAGAATATTTGTTGGTAGAGATCACCAAATTGAAGAATAGCTAGTAATATTTTATGTGATTTTAATTTCTTCCAAATCATGCAAACATCATTGATGAAAAACGTTTTTTTTTGTTTGAATAAATTTAACATTCTTTCAAAAAAAAAAAATGATTCGAATGAAATATAAATTATGAATTATATGTTGCGAATATATGCTCATAATATCTCTACAGGATAGTATACTCTAAAAGTTTTTAGATTGGAAAATGTTAGGTCAGGAGGCCAAATAATCGAAATGGTTTAGTGAGGCCTTAAAACTAATAACCATTCGATAACTAGTCAACCTATTATCAATGTAAATTTGTAACACACTTTTCTCAACATTTTCATACTTTTTAAAAGGTAAATGAGATAATGTAAACAGAGAAGTTTAAAACAGAATATAAAAAGTTGAAAACATAGAAACATCATACTTATTAGGGACACTAACGAAGTATAAGATCGGTCAATGTTAATCATGGCCCAAAAATAAAAGATAGGCATTAGCAAAACTGGGTGTTGTTTTCGGCCCGTAAATCTGCATTGGTACAAAAACCCAAACCGAGGCTTTTCAAATAGAACCGAGGCTTTTCAAACAGACTGCGAGCTCGAGAAATCCCAACAATTGCTTTTGTGGAATGTAGTTGCGCAGAAAGACAAGAAAGCCAAGAGGATTCATCATCTTGAAACCAGTGATCGAATTATATGTGCTTTGCTACATGCTACTAATTATCTGATAAGCATTTTCTGCTATAATAGTGTCCAAACACAGGAACTCGGAATCACTGCGATAGACATGGGAAGCTCTGTGCCATGCACTATTGGTTATCAAAATCGACCCCTGGGCCGATCAGTTCTTGGTACGTTCTTGTTTTGCGTCAATACTTTTAAACTAAGGAGGAAGTACATCTGAAAATTCTGAATTAGCTAGTTGTAAATAGCCCCAGGACTACGCTCCTATAAATTCTCCACATTCAATCAAACTCGCTTGACCTAACTTCTTCTAGATGTCATCACCAACGGAAAAGGCAACATCGTCCTAGATTTCTTCCACGGCCTTCGACGATCGCGAACCTGACAAGTCTCTGAGTCGGTCGAATCAACATCTAAAGAATGGCTGAAAATCTCAGACTTCTTCAAGAATTTGATCGCTGCATTGAAGAAGTGGTTTTCACCGCTGATCGCAAGGCTTGGAATGAAAAAAAGGTAAACACCCGTTTGATTTTCTACAGATGATGTTTACACTTTCTCGTTTTATTCGGCGATGATGAAGGTTCTCGATTTCTTAATTCGCTTTATTCTATGATTGTACATTCTTGAAAGTCGAATTCAGAATTTTATTTGACCATGAATTGTATAATCATATGTCGTATCGTTACACAAGTTGTTCTTCTCGTTTTGGCTCGGATTTCTGTATTATAAATCAAGAATTACGTTTTGTTTTTTCTTATTCGTTCTTGTATTCTCTTAAGATACTTTGTTTCTTTTGTAACAAGTGTGTCTGTAAACGAATTATGATGTGTTCGCGTACCAGAAGTCTTTCCAGAAAAAGGTTCCCAATTATTTGAGATGTTTTTGTCAATATGTAATTAATGAGGATATATGTTATTCTTTCTTAGTTTAGTAAAACTGTCAGATTGGTATACAGTATATGTTTGCTTCGATGTAAAGGATATCTTTATTTTCATATTTTTCTAAATTAGTTATTTAGGGTGCTTAATCTTTAAAAATGGACTAACTTTCTTTTTCTTTAATCAATTAAAATGATGTATGCACAGATTCTGTACACATATTCTGATGTATGCCGTTTCTGTTGGGAGGACAGCTTTGATCACATTGGACATTTAGAAGAAACGGAGCCGATGTTTTTGTTGCCAAGTAAGAATGGCTTTGTAAGAATGGCTTTGTAAGAATGGCTTTGTAAGAATGGCTTTGTAAGAATGGCTTTGTAGTCATCTTCAATACTCATCTTCAATAGTCTGGAAGCAGCAGAATGTGTTAAGAGAGGTAATTAGATGATTTTATATTTTGGTGATATTATAGATATATTTTGTTGTTTAGATTGTCATGTCTATAACATTTTTATATACTATCAGGTTAACAATACCGTGAGGATCAAGCAACGATATCACTTAACGCACACATGCATCTTAAACATAAAACCATTAGAAGTAATTAATTATGTAAAGCGTGGGGCAGTAAGAATAAGGATGTCAAGACCATTTTCAACAAGAATCTATCATCATCTGGATTTTCTTCACTCTTTCATTCCAAGTCCACAACATTATTATCTCTTTTCAAAGAGATCTTATTCCTCAGGAAACTAAAGTTTTTGGTAGGACCCATCCTCGTTGCTGCTTTCTTTGAAATATTTCCTCAATGCAGAGACCTTTATGGGTCTCTTATTTATTATTTTAATAGTTTTTCAGCAAAAAGTGAAATTAAAACTGGTTTTAGAGACTTTTGGTTTTGGGTTATACAATGGGAGAGACCCATATTGATTTCTTAAAAAAAAAAAAATTATTGGGAACAAACTTAATGAAAAATATGTAGCTTCATTTCAGACAGTTTCATACAAGGACTATGTAGTTATGGACAAGAACAAATCTCAACCCCCTAAGAAATTTCAGTGCATAAAAAGTAAACAAGCAAAAGAGACCTCTTTTTCCTCTAGACGGCGGTTCAGTTCATGCAACTCTTTGTCCATACTATTTTGCAAGAGCTTGTGCTCCCACTCCTTTGCCTCTTCGTCTACTTCCCTTGAATCACCTGCATATAGTTTCTTGAATAACAATGCCTCCTTCTAGTTTCATAACTCTTTTGAATCTTTCTTTTACCTATCGTGGCTTCAACCATGGGATAATTTGACGTCTTTATACTCGTCCACACTGCACTATCGCCTGTGAAAGAAGCACCATCACAGTAACGCAATTTAACTCTGTTCCAGTTGAAGAAATCTGCAAAATGTCCATAAAAAGAAAAAAAAAACGAAACTGAGGAAAAGATACTCCGAGTCACTGCAAGCAAATGTTTAGCTCATGATATATAATTCTGGATTAACCAGGATTCTCATCAGCCTTATCACTCAAAATTTCAGTGAAGGCCAAAACTTTCTCCATATAATTTGATGAACCACGCCCAGTGGTTTTCCGGAAGATACAGCTCCTACGTGTGTTGCACCATCCTCCACCCTGCATCAAATTAAAGAAACATTTTTTTAAGAAGAAAAAACAGACGAAGAAGAAGAGTGATAAAAGAAATTTTCTAAGAATCTTTCATAGTCAAAACTCATTAGCATTTTTGAGCGAATATACAAATAAAATAGCATTCATAAGAGTTAGATTATATATATAATATATTTATACCTCAAGTTGGATGAGCCAGCGGTTAGCCCCTTATCCAGAACCGCGGTGTAGATGATAACCAGGTAATGTTCCATCCAGGCAAACTGCAATCAAGTTTAGTGTTCAAAGAGCCACAGTATTCAATCAATCTAGAGAAGAAACTGAGTTTGCCAACTTCATCTTAGGAAACAGATTCAAAGAGCCACAGCATAAGCGTAACAAAAGAATGACATCAAAGTTTCAAGCTTCAGGGTAATTGCATTTAATCAAAAATGTGGGGAACAAGTCAAAGAATACTTCAAATTCTCTATGATCAGACAACAGTAAAGAGAGCAGAGGAATCTCGGTTACGATTCAAATCAGCACTAGCTAGTAGCTAAGGATCTCGAAAATTTCCGAGAGAGAAAGAGATCGTACAAGCTCCTTTGGAGACAGCTCCCTGAATCAAGGTGAGAGGACCATGAGAAGCTGTGAAGAAGATGTCACCAGTTGATTTTCCAGTAGCGAGATCGCATCGTCGGTATCTCTCACTTTCCCGATTTCATCGCTAGATTTGCTCTGAACCACAACATCGGTATCTCTCACCCCTGATGCCCCGATTTTGTCGGAGAAAAGAGAGCAATGGAGAAATGAAAGGGAAAAAAATGAGATGACAGAAAAAAAAAAAATTTCTCTCCAATTTTTAACCAATGAAACCTCGCCATGTGTGAGAAGAAACGTCTTCAAAAATCCCCAAATAGGAGACCTCTTTGTCAAATAAGAAACGATGGCTCTATTGTTTATTAATAATTTTCTGTTAAATACCCTAAAAAAACCGCGTTAAAGATGCTCTTATACTTGGACATCATAATCAGGTTACGATGGTCTCGCTTCATCCACAGTCTATGTTCATAGTCCAAGATAAGAACCTCACGTGATTCCGCCAAAACAAGTTCCAAAGACTTCAAACCACCGTCACTGTCTCTACTTGTAATGAATGATTCAGTTCCCAAAGTATATCATATGCGGATCTAGCAACTTCACCACATTCTTTGCGTGGTCAGGGCCATAGTTTGTGAACACATGCATGGTGAAAAACTCTTTTGCCTCCCGCAAGAATTCACGGACAAAAGGTCGAAACTTCACCAATACGTCACTTGAATAGAAATTCTCTTTAGGGACACGAAACAGATCATCTCTTGATCCCGAATCTGCCTCTTTGATCAGATGATACTTATCAATCTCGGAGAGTTTCCGACACCCTGATAGGGTCGATGAGGGTGTGTTCTAAACTAAGAACCAAGTGAAGTTTCTTTTGTCCCAATCCGATCCTCAACTTCTGTTGCTTAGTGGCCGCCTCGAACTCGCGGCTCATCCGTAGAGACTTGTCTAAGTAATTAAAAGCTCGGGCACAATCCCAAATATCCAGGAAATACCCACATCGGCAACATTCACTGCTTTGATACATCGAAAAGATCAGGCTTTCTTGCGACCCTCGTATTCGCGTAGTAAGATTTCACTCGAGATCTGCATCGACAACAAATTTGACGGTGAACAATCCAGTGCTTACATGGAGCGCCATCGATAATATCCTCAGATTCCTCAACAAATTTGATAGCTATCTCTATTTATATTTTATTTTGGTTCATTAAACCCTAATAGATATTTCCCATCTAGCGAATTAAACTGTTACGTAAAACTCCCCAGAAACAAAAAAAAAAAAACACTACGTATAACCAAGTTATTATATGCTTGATATACTAGATTTATTATTTAATGTTCAATCTTAATGGGTTGCGATTTGAGTAATCATTTCGATAATGTTAGTACTTGTTACGTTATATAATAAGAAAATAAAAACAGAAACAGAACCTATTGGATTTACAAATTTACAAATTTACAATAGGGTCTCGGTTCAGTTATTAATCTGGTTAAATCGTTTACTACTCATAAGAAACCAAACCGGATAAAAATGAAACCCACCCCCTGATTGACACCGTATCTTTGAACGGGTCAATTCCCGATTTATGACTCTCTCCGTTATCTCAGCCGTACAAACTCTCCTGACCTAGCTTCTTCGGGATTTCATCACGAACCGGAGAAGGCGACGGCGTATAAAACGGCGGCGAACCACAAGGAGTAGAGAACGGCGTCGTTCCGTCGTCGTGGTGATCATAGTCACAAGAGTCAACCTCGTCGTCGTTTCTCTCCCTTACTACAAAACCATCTTCCAATTCTTCATCCTTCACATGATGATCGTCCATAGATACGCTTCCACGTCGTTCAATCTCAGCCGTTCGATGATTATGATCGGTCTCGCTAGTACAGTCTTCAGCGATGGTAAACAGAGTCTCGGAAGGACCACAAAGTAGATTCTCTCCCGTGGTTGACCACTTTGATGCCACGTCATCCATCGGCGGTGCGGCTGGTGGGAGAGGCGGAGCGGTGGCGGATCCTATTCGGAACTGTTTGTTCTCGAGACAGAAGAGGAAGAAGTAAAGAAGCTCTTTTGACGGCGGCGGTGTCGCCGTCGGGTCACCTCCGCGGGAGGAGAAAGCGTCGAGTTCTGATCCGGCGATACTCCGACGACGAAACCGGCGTTTCCACCATAGAACGTAGGCGAGCTGAGCCGTGACGGCGATTAGACAAAACACGAATACGGCGACGAGTATGGTTGCGGTTTGGCTCAGACCCATTTTGAGATTGCGAGAACAGAGTAAGGGGAAGATGTAATCTAAAAACTTCGTCGTTTCGTGGTTTAATTATGGATTTGTGTGTTTTAGACTTTAGAGGGTAGTTTTGTACATTGTTACATATTTTTGGGCAGTTGAAGTGTCACTATCGGAAAAGAGTTTCCGAGTAGGTTCCGGTTAGAAAGATCATTAATAGTCAAATAATTTGGATTTCTAAATTTTAATAGTAGTTTTTTTTCTTTGTCGTTTAAATACACATAGCGACCTTCAAAAATGATGCGTTACTCGTGAATTGGAAGAGAGAGCATCGCGTTCAATATGTGATTCTTTACCAATTAAAGCTTTTGGGCCATTTGATTATTGAAAAGCCCAAATGATTACCAAACTAACTTCATGTTAAACGGCCCATTTTAGTTTATAGTTCTGGGTTTATGTCTTTATGATTTTTTTTTTTTTTTTTCACAGTCTTTATGATTTATATATCATTTTTGTTTTTTTGTTTTTTTTTGGTCGAAGATCATTTTTGTTTTTGTTTTGTTTAAGGGTGTTTAAATTAAAAAAGACGATTATGTTCTTACGTGTTATGTTGCATAAACATATAAATAGCCAGATGATTCTTTTGTTTTGTTTGGCTCAAGCCTCAAGGATACACCAGATAATTATCTAGATCTCAAATATTCATGTGGTACTTTGTACTAGTTAGAAACTGTATTTGAAATAGTTTTTCTAGGAATTGTACTCATAACATGCCTTTGAATTGTTCGAATTCTTCTTTAAGATTTAGGCAAATGTTGATTAGGCCCTTGACTGACTGCTTAAAAATCAAAAATAAGGATTTGGGCCATGAGGCTGATTCATATGTTGCTTACATTCTAGTAAATGACTACAATTTCTTAGTTTTCTTATTTGATAGAGAAAATGTACCAAGAGGAGAAAAAGTTGGTGTGTTTTGTAGCTTTTTGAAAGATAAAAAGCGAATTATGTTGAGATCAAAGTTTAGGCCTCTAATGGCTAAATGCCCATCACAAGGCTCTTAAAAAACTTAAAAGTCCCCCAAAAGCAGAGAGATAGAATTTAGCTTTTTTACCCTCTCTTTTTCTCTTCTGCTTTAAAAGGGTCACCCACTTTCTGCAGTTCTTATTAATAAAATTAATTATATACTTTTCCAAAATCATGCTTAACTTTATCTTCCTTCCTGCTTTTGAGGATAAACTTTAGATTCCATGCATGAATTGATGGACATATTTACCCACATACTCATACATATAATATGCATTTTTTCTTTTCTAATTTGCCGATAAACTAATGTGGATATTTTTGTGTGTACACATGGGCTGAACGGTGTGATTCCCATAATCATCAAATGTTATCATTTAGACATTTACCGACAAATCTGTGTATATCAATATCAGAAATATTCAGATCATATACTTAAACAACTCGTTTGGATACAAATTTGATATAAACATTTTCAAGCGTATCCGTTCTTTCCACTCTACATAACATATCTAAGCAAAAGCTTACCTTATTTCAAGTTTGTGACGGGAGATTCATTCTTAAAAGTGATCAATACATATTCTAGTCCCCGATCCAAGGGATGTTGGAGCAATAATATCTAAAAACTTCTGATATTAAAAGAAAAATAAACTTGTAAAGGCAAAAGAGATTCTAAGGTGGTGGCTTCTTCCTTTCTCTTGGGAAAAAATAAAGAGAGAAAAGATGAAACGAACCAGAGTGGCAATAAAGTTTGTGGAGATTTTTAATATAAATCAAGCTGTCTTGGATTGTAAAGGAAATTGTATGCTTTATGTTTAGACTAATTAAGGGTTAACTCTGGGTTGTCTATTATATATATATATTTTTTTTAATGTGCTTCATATTATATGATCTTTTTGTTGAATGTACAAATTATTCATAAAAATTGCAAAAAGCCGAAAATCACTTAAAATATCTGTATTTTATAGTTAACTATCAAAACAACAACAATGATTGACTTTGTATTAGAAAAAAAATTATTATCAAATGTTTTGAAGCAAAAAATTAAATGAAAACATCTTCTGTAATGGATGAAGTTGTTTAAAGAAAATTCATAGTTAACGACAAACATTCTTAAAAGGAGAATGAGAATAATACGCTTTACGTCGATAGATGTAATTGTGTATTAAGTATTAGTATATTGTCGCATTGCATGTTCTTTCTTCTAGCTTAAGCGTTCTTTCTTCTAGCTTAAGTCTTAATTTATATTCTATCTTTTGTTCAAAATATTGTGTAGCAATCCTCATCTTTTAACGATTATCAAAGGATCTAAGCTGTGGGTTAGTTTAAGCATATAAGTTGTTTCAGAATTTCAAATAGAAGAACCGTAATTAACAACTTGCATGGCAATCGATTGAACATGAAAGAGGAAAACTTGTATGCAGCCAAAGATTGATATCCATGCACGAAGCTGCCAATAAAACTTATATCACAAAATCCATTTTTTTTACTGCAAATTGTACTTTATTAATTTGAAAGAAGATCCGAATACAACGTATCAATTAAAGGTCCGATAAATACAATCAGAATAGACAGGAATATACGAAGTACATTTCTTAGCTAACAAATGGGCTGCCTCATTGGAATTTCTTTTGACATATACTAAAGACTGATGAGAATTATATAAGTTTTATCACAAAGAGCAATATATAAAGAGAATTATAAGAACGATGTATAACTTAGATCTATATTAACTAACTACTACTATCGACCATTAAGATATTATATCGTTCTTTGTTTTTTTTTGACGTCGACATTCTATCGTTCTTAGTGGTGGTAACAGAGAAAAACAAACATAAATCCGAAAAAAAACTTCCATAAAAACTAAAAAACTAAAACATATATTAAACCTATAGATATACGGTTCTTTACGGCGGCAAAAAATCGATCCAACAGTTCAGCATAGTGAATTGAATATGGTGGAACAGGAAGAAAAAAAATAACCAAATAATGAAATAAATCACTTGGTGTACCGACAAAATCTTTATATAAAACGTGGTAAATTTCGTTAGTTCAATCCAAATAGTATCTCGAAATTTTTTGTCCCTTTTCAGCCTTTTTTCAGTCATTTTTCCGCGAGCATAAGTGATCATTTACGACCATAATTTGAAAATTTTACAGTAAGAGAAAGAAGAAAATCTGTGACCAAAAAGAAAAAGAGAAAGAAGAAATTCTCAATTTTCCCATTCCCATATCCTTCTACAAGGTTCCTAAGCCAAACCAAAAAAAAAAAAATCTACTACTACACGTTTAACCAAGAGTATTGTCCCAATGAAAGAGAAATACGTAAGGAAACAAACACATGATTTAATCGGAATGATTAAGTCCATGTTCATAAACTTGGCCATGTTACATACTTACATGCACACATGCATGATGTTATGTTGACGAACACTTGAAATGAAACCGTGCATCCACAGCTTCGAGCAAGCCAATCTCATCACATGATTCTTCTTCACGAACGTCATCATCAAGAGATAGGTTGAGATCGAGTGCAACACAAGTAGCAACGTTCTTCTCTTCCGATTGATCTGAACCGGCAGAGTTAACGGGAGGAGAACAAGCTCTTGATCTTGAACTGAATCTTTCACAGCTCAAGATCACAATCGCGTCTTCAAGCGAAGCTTCTTCACCGCTCGAACTACGAACTCTTCCTCTCTCGATAGCTCTCTTGAACCCCATTTGAGATAAATAATCAGCTTGCTCTATATCTTCCACTAAGAACACTCTGTTCGGATCTAACGAAACAGCTTCAGAGAATCTCTCAATGTAACTTAAGCTCTGTTCGTCTCTCGACCTCTTGTTCCTCACATCTTCTGCGGATTCCGATCTTTGCGATGAGAAACTGCTCAAGCAGATCGAGACGAAGCTGTTTTGAGATCCGAAGAGAAGTTTGGCCAATTCTCTAGCGATCTTCTCTTTAGCCTCTACGTCAAGACCTTGGAAGAACATCCAAGTCTCTTCTTTTATATCATCATTTCCGTTGATCTTCCTCGTACTCGATCCTGATCTGCATTTCAAGACTGTTTTCGCTATCTCCACGATTATATCCTTCTGCCATGGTACCTTGCTCTCCAAGGCATCACATAGTGTTGCTAGGTTTTCATCATTCATCTCTTTAAACCTGGAAGAATCATGTTCCACCTCCATTGCATCGCTAGAAGAAGCGGCTGAGTTAATTGTCGAATTAGGATTCGAAGAGAAAAGCTCGTTTTTTTGTTCGCTGTCATGTTCTGGAATAAACAGTCTTAAGTGGGATGCATCAGGGGTCATGGAATGATGATGATGACGATACTTGTTTGTCACGATCACGGGCCAATCACCGTTGCTTTGAAGATTATGGAGAGTACTCGAAGGTTGAACAGAACCAGAAAAGGAAGAAGTAGGGGAAGAGAGTGTGAGTGTTTTTAGAGATGGTCTCTTGTGGATCGAATCGCAGATTGAGTTCCATTTCACCACAAGTTCCTTTATAGAGTGTGAATCCTGCCAAGTCCAAGAATCATATATACCTTGAATGAAGTAAACGAAAAGGAAATGAAAATGTGAATTTGTTTGATGTTTATATAACTCACGGTGTCGCTTTTTTTATTTTCATTCTTGTACTGCTGAAGCCACGCAGGTAAAGCTGCAACGGTAACATTGCTATTGCTGCATTGCAAGAACCGTGCTTCTGCCTCAAACTTGACAGAACATTCCTCACAGAAACTGAGCTGCTCCTTTAATGGATGCAGCTGCAGAGGTAAATTCTCTGATTTCTTGACTTCAAGCTCACTGCTTCAAAAAAAAAAAGATGATTAATTAAGAAGCGTTAAACTTGGTTTAATCTTTGAATCTAACTAGAAAGAAGTAACTTATTTTCTCCAATCTTTCTTTAGTATTTCTCACAAGAAAGCAGATAAAAACATATAGAAAAATAATAGAAAAAAGGTACGAAAAGGATGCACGTTGTTTCACCGTTCTTTTAGACGATCACCAAATAAAGCAAAAACACTATAGGTGAAATTGTCCTTTTCGAAAAAGAGACAAATAGTTAGAACATATCCAACAAAATTTAATATTAAAAAAATAAACCCATCTCTAGTGTCCAGATTATGTTGATTGTACATTCAAAAGGTGAAGACTTTACCTCTCGGAGACGAGACTCAAACGAAGGCTACTAGTCGTCGCCGGAATAGTGAGAGTAGTGAGACACCAAAGGGACTCAAGCGAAGGTTGACCAGACTTGCATCTCACGTAAGTCTGTGAAGTCGCAAGACCCATCAACCAAAACCTCCCATGATCTCCCATGACCAACCCACGAGCCAACTTCCCAATCTCCATTATCATATGCTCCACAACACAATAGTTGTTGTTATACAGTGAAGAACTTTTCGTTCTAGACTCTACGAACCAGTTTAGATCTCCCAGATATAGAATCACTCCTTTTCCGACATAGCTCCTCACAAGTGTCTCCAACTCCTCTAGCTTATGCTCCACATCGGATCTACTCGGTTGCCCAAGCGATGAGAACGATAAAGTTATAAACTTTACGTCTTTTAAAGCTTCGGGCACATCTTTTTTGTCAACTTTCTCCATCACTGTTCTCACAACTTTGTCAACAGTGGCTAAACACTCTCCCAGGATCACGAAGTTCTTCCTCTTTTTGTCGACTAGACTATCTATAACGTTCATGACATCCTCGTTCCTGACAGGAGTTAACAACTTCCCTTCTTTGGGTTTACTCGAGGAGGTTGTTTTGGAGCAAGTCTCTAAAGAAACAGCTTGCTCGACTTTGGTCTTCACTTGAGGACTCGAGAAACCAGCTTCTCTCATCACTCTACTCACGCTAGGATCATCGAGGATGGATATTATGAGCTGCTCCACTTCAATCTTGACAGCTAAAATCGGTTGTTGCTGGCTCTCGATGGATCCACGCCGCTGGTGAGCCTGCGCTCGTTTGAAAGCTGCACCGAGAGCGTTGGAGATAGAAGGGAAAGGGGAAGTTGGAACCCCTAACATAGGACTCCCCGTGGAGGTCGGGAGGCGGTTTAGAGCCACGTTGAAGCAGAGCTCGAGGGCTCTGCATTGAAGAGGGTGAGTGTGAGATTGGAGACAAGCTGTTCTAAGTAAACCCGTGGAAGCAGAGAGCATGGTGCTAGCCACATGGAGAGGTGTGACCTGGGCATGCCCTCTCCTTCTAGCCAAGCCCATGGCTTGTTTCACCACGTTTGCAGCCTCAGGCGTGAGGGCTTGCTCCACCGTGCAGCCTCCAGCTCTCATGGTTACAAAAAACACCCTAAAGGAACACAAGGTAGGGGTACTAGTACTGAGAAGTGAGAGATCTACAGTAAAGGTTTCAAGGGACTGTCTTCATTCCATTTATCTAAGACAACGAAAGCACCCAAAATGGAAGGTGGGGTTAAATCTTAAACCTAAGAGCAGAGTAAGGAAAGAGAGGGAGAGAAAGACAGAGAGAGATCAAGGGAAGAGGTGAAAAGAAAGAGGGAGAGGAAGAAAAGGGTTTTGGTCATCAAATATATGAGGAAGGAGAAGGAGGAAATGTGTATGCTTTTCTTGTGAGAGAGGCAAAATTTTTGGGGGTTTTTTGAGGGTCCAAAGTGGATTTTGTAGTGCAAAGTGGAATGCTTGTGATGACAAAGCAGTATCAAAAGGCAAAGGTAACTCAGCTTTGCCCTTATATTCTTTTCTTTCTCAAAAATCACCAAAAAAAAAATGAAAAAACAAAATTAATGGGTACTGCAGCTAAGTGGGTCTCTTTTCTTTTCTGCAAAGCGTATCACTTATTTAGAAAAGAACCTAATTAAAGATGCTTATCATCATTCACTTATTTAGTATAATAACTAATATCCCCGTAGAAAATATTTAGGAGATAATCACTCTCCCCTTTTAGTACCTTGAAGCTACTACTATCCTAAGCTAGTCCCAGCACTTTTTCAGACAAGAGTCTCTTAATCTAGATCCAGTCCAGTAAGCTATACTCAGGTCACATGTAAGCAACAACATAGGAGCCACTAAAACATGGGAATAAACAGATTTTTGTAAAAAAAAGAAGAAAATACTGTATATATTTTTAGCCAAACTATGTCTCAACAAACATATATAGTTTTTTTTTCTTCTAAGAATATTTTTGGTTTTCCTGAAGCAAACACAGTTTAATTAGTGGTAACTTGTAATAAATTTATGAATATGTTTTCCTACCTCATTCTCAAGTAAGAGAAGAGTTATCAATATACTAGAAATATGAAATGCCAGGTTCTGTTCCAAAAGATAATCATATACATCCGCCTGAATGATATTGAAATACACTCGTAAACTGATTACTATGTAATATTTTTTTTCTGTCAACGGACCGATTACTATATATGTTGTTTTTAACCTATCAAACTCTGTAAAACAATATTGTTGGTGAAAACTATGTTTCCTTAGCCAACTAAGTAACACATGGAATGATATTGAAAATCAGAAGTCTGCATTAATTTCCAAATGTTACCCAAGCAAAATATTTTTTTACTAGCCCAACGCATATGAACAGGAAACACAGAACAGAGCAGGGTCTTTGTAAATTTTTCGAACTATTGCATGAAATTTAGTAACTCAACCCCCTAAAATTAACAGTAAAAAGCAAATCAAACCATCTGACCCATTACAGACATTAAACATATGCATCATTCGCTTTCGTTGCTTTCATAAAAGTGTGTAGCTTTTGGCCCATAAATTCCATTTTAAAAACGAGAGAAGAAACGAAGGTGTTTCGAACAAGAAAAATATTAAAAGAAAGCGCACAAGGCAGTTGGTGGGGACAGTCTTTGATTGTATCTGCTATCAACACGACCAATCATTTTCATGTGCCTAATGAAATCAAAGTTTCAGATCAGTAACAGGAACCCACAAATCAAAATAAAAGAAAATAAGGCTATTAGAGAACAAGAACACAAGATATATTAATATATAGAAGCAGAACTGTGCTTATTATTTTATTATTGCAACATAATTAAGAGATAAGAAAAGTTTGATTCTCGTACCACTAATCAACATGTCAAGCCATGCATTTTATATCTTAACTTGATAACACTAGATATACGCACACAAAGCTAAACAGATGCAGATGCCTATCAATATTTCAAGAATCCATTGAGAGAAAAAAAAAACGCAAATTCATTCACTGTTCAATGAAGGCCCCATAATCTAAATTCAGTGATTAAGGAATGATAAAATCAGTCAACAAAAAGAAATGATTCCGCGTATGGATTATTCAAACATGAGATCATTGCAGTAATTGGTACAAGGAGCTTTACCTATTATACTTCTACTTTGATGAAAACATCTCTCTCTCTCTCTCTCACATGAAGCATGCCACTGCATAGAAAGAAGATAAAATGCACCACCATTCAACTTGCCTAGGAATCTCCAATAAGATTTATTCACTTTGGTAAGAGAATCATATAAGCTATATTCCCACTATAGATATGTATGTTCTAAAGACTATAAATCAATTACCTTTTCTTATAAAATATTGAAGAAATAGAGTAAAAATTACAATATCCTCACTAGAAACAAGAAATCTTCCTTTCATTCCCCAATCATCTTTTTTACAGCTTTTTACTTGTTTTTATGTAAGCCTTCACCTGAAAGCCACTATTCCCTGCAACAAGTACTATTACACTCACTTCCTCTCCCAATGCTTCTACAAAAGAAGCTAAAGCATCATTTACCCATGCATATATGTATCAACTCAAAATGAGGAAAACACAAGAATGTTGTGGCATAAAACAAAGAGAAAAATCATCCTACAATCATTATTCAGGAAAAGCATGTGAACGTTTTAAAATCAAACATGATTATATGTTTCTAGAGTATAAGAGGACACAAAATCATCAACGTTAGGTCACTCTTCACAAGAGAGCTTTGATTTCTTCTATTTATCATGGACGCTAATAGGAAAATATCTTTTAAACTCGCTTACTTATAAGAATACAAATACCAATAGCAAGGGAATAGATCACTTAGTTTTCTAAAGTCCCTTTGCTAAAATTTACGGGGTTTTCATGAGGTTACACAGATGTGGATATAATTGCTTACAGATGACTTGTGGGACCAAATAGGAAAGTTGTGAGAATAAACACAAACTCATCAACAGTTTCTTCCTCGCTGTCTGCGTTTAAGACAGAAAAAAAGGGAAGGAAAGGGGCTTTGATTAGCTTAGACCCAAAAGAGATCCAAAGGAAGACCAAAATCATTTGAATGCAAAAGTGTTTTGAATGATGAGAGCAAAGGAATATATATAGTTACTTCAGGCACACCCAATCAACCCTCTTCTCCTTTAATAAAAATTGGCAATCTTTGTTTACCCTAACTAAAAGACTTAAAAAAAAAAATTATTTGCATAAACCAGTCCTTTCGAGAAATTAAAGTGTATGACCACACAGTCAAATGTGAATGCTTTAACAAGGATCAGACCCCAGATGATTCTAAAGCACTTGCGTTTACGAGAAGAACAAAATGTGAACAACCCGTCTCTCCAGCCCACTTGCTAAAGATTTAGCCAATGTAGCCATCAACTTTTAAAGAATTTGGCCTTTTACAAAACAACACAGAGTATTTTGCATCAGATTTTAAAAATTACTTAGCTGAGAATTTGATTGTTTCACATTAAACTGAAACTGGCTTGTAGGACCAAAGAGGACAACTAGAAAACAAAATACAAAATCGCCAATTGTTTATGAGGTTTAGACTATACAAAGTTGAGACCAAACTCATTTGAATGCAAAAGTGTTGATTTGGAACAAAAGAAAGCAAAGGAATATAGATAGTTTCTTCTGGCACACCCAATCAAACGTTTACTCTAACCAAAATAAACTAACTTTTTTCCCTAACAAATACATTCAACCTCAGTCACAAAAAAAAAGAAAAAAAAACAAAAAAATTCATTTGTGTAAACCAATCCTTTCAAGAAAGTGTTTGACCAGAATGGTCAAAATGTGAATGCTTTAACCAGGACCAGACCCCAGATGATTCTAAAGCAATTCTGTTCGCAAGAAATATACATCGGAAATACGATCAGTTTTTCCATCCCACTTGATAAAGCTTATTTTCAATTAATTTAACATCCAATTTTGAAGAATTAGGCCTTGAAAAAGATGTTTTGCATCAGAATCTAAACAACATAAGGTACTGCTAGCGTTGAGTTAGATTGAAACTGACTTGGAATCTTGCATGAATTGTAAAAGTGATACGTGTTCTGCATGACTTTTCCCAGTGGTTTCTATGAAATCAAGCTCTTTTCTTCATAGGCAATAGAAGAGCCTCTAGAATTCTTTTTAAACAATTTCAAAATAAGGCAACCTTATCACAAAATCAAAAAGGGCTCCCAATTTGATTTTGTTTTTAGATTTCTGAGCATTCAAAAGAAGCATCTTTATTCTCCTGGGTGTGACCATGTGGGAAAAAAAACGAATAGAAGTAGCAAATATAGAGAAAGATAAATATGAGAATAGTTTAAGGCATAATTGTCCTTTAGACGGCCTATATAACTTTACGAAAGAAAGAGACCAAATTTAAAGATTAAAGGAGGAATGGAGAAAAGTTGTCCTAATTTTATCATGACAGCCTTCTTAATCTAATGTCATGAACTTGATTCACAACGTGTCTCTTTATTCACAAATTATTATTATTATTATTATTTTTTGCCTCGCATAACAACTATATACTCATGAGTAATCCCGGCAATCTAAAAGAAAGGTTCGCTATGGTTCAAAACTTCAAATAATATTTTGAGTCTTATTAAGAATCTAAAACGGTGGCTTATATTCCTCATTACTTGTTCCCTACATTTTCCAAGAGTTTAAGCTAGCAGAACAGCACAAATACTATCATATTATTGGATACATATGTGAATCCATAATATCAACGAAATCAAGCATATCTGCATATGCATAATTATGCAGTGAACAAGTGTTGGGAAAGTCCTATCACAAGAAGCACTCGAGCTTTTATGATATGACAATAGAAAGGAAAGAACAAATTTAGTTAAAGTTAAAAGGTTAATTATATCTCAGCAAAATTCTTTGATATGTGGTGCTATATAACAACTAAAATGTCAAAATAACATGTTTATGATACCGAGTTTGACTTTTCCTTAACTATCTATGCTTTTCCAGATAAATCAATACAAACAAATATTTGTATAACCATACCAAAACTTTTTCTAAAACAATACTCGAAAAAAAAATGAAAGAAAACTAAATCTGCTTGGTTACTAGTGACAAAACAAAGCGCTTACTAGTCAACTATTGCAGTGCTACTCTGGCTAATGCTTAGGATGCGCATATACATAACAAACATCAAAACGTAAAAAATTTCGAAGATTTGCTTTATCATCATGATCACGATAAGTTTCATCATAAATCTGAAGATTGAAGTTTGTGGATACAAATAAAAGGATAAAAAACTTCCACGATCTCAGTTTTTACGGGATTTCAAATGGAAACCAACAATGTTCACAAAAAAAAAAGGAACGTATGAGTTTTAAATTGTAATTATGAAATCTGTTAGATTTAAAAAAAAAAGAGGTTGAAAACAATTACTTGAGTAGAAAGTTACGACCGCTGATTCCTATAATTGTCTGAGAGAATGCCGGAGAAAGACGCCGGCGACGACTCGATCTGAACAGAAAGAGGAACCCTTGCTCGGCCGTTACGCTTTCAACCTTGGGCTTGTGGTCCAAGATTATTCCGATTCTACACGAGACGAGCAAAATACATTGAAGCCCAACAATTTACATGCGCTTTCATAGAGCCTAAAATTAAAGGCCCATTAACAGGTCTTTTATGAGTCAACTACAAGCCGTTAGGTACAAAGCTTCCAAACGAACTTTCTAAATTTCTGGCGATGATTTTCTTGTTGGTTTGGGTAAACAATAATTTCTGAATGGGAAGAACAGGTTAATTATTTTGTGATTTTATTTTGATTTTACGTTTGATTTTTTCCTAGACCTTTTGCGTTTGGATTAAAATATATAAAAATTAATATATTGTATCTTAATGATTTTCATGCTTATGGTTCATGCAGGTTCGGTCTTAGATTATTAGGATTATAAGTTCTCAGTTAAACAAACGTTGTAATGTTTGAATCGAACTGTTGTAATAAAGGTAGATTTTTTAGCATTTTTAAGCAAAGAGAAACTAGAGATTAGTGATTTCTAAGTATTGTCATTTTGTCACCATTTAAATTCATATCCAATAAAGAAGGTATGTGAATTGTTGACATAACAGATGTTATCTTAGTTTCGGAAACTTCTGCATTTTTGCTGGGTAAGAATTTTTTAAAAAAATTTTTGACAGATTTTATTAAAATGGTCATTGTCTGAACGCTTGGACACTTATGGTCTATTTCTCTGGAGTCTGGACCAGTTAGGGATAAAACGAGATCCATCCAGCTGCATATTGACTATACATTGCCCCACTTTTTAGTCGGCCAGCCCGCATCTAAGTGCAACCGTAACAATTTTGATAAGATTTGTAATGTAAAATTAGAAAAGTTTATCTGACAAGAGGCTGTTTCAGCATTTCCAAGCTGATATAAAATGTTGTACAAAAACCTGATACGTCAAAATTACTAGTATTAATTTAATACTATTTGTCAAGCTAGAAAGCTTCGATTATATTCTATTCTAATACTGTACATTGTTTAGTACTTATAAATGAAACCTTTTTAGTTTTTAATCACATTGATTGCTCTGGTTGACAAAACAAATAAAAAACTCACATTGATTACACTGACCAAACAAATTACACTGATCGCGCCAGAAACATAATTATCGGTACCTCATTATTGAAAAAATATCTTAATCTTGGAACTTTTTGTGAGCTGGCATGATTAGCAGATGCAACTCATTTCCCCTTATCGCATTCATTGCTTTATCGCTTTTTACAATTTCTCCAATTTCATTAAACCGGATCGGACTGTAAACCGGTAAAGCTACTGTAGTATTAATATCCTTCAATCCCAAAACTATACACCTGAGATATTTTTGTCTCTTTGTTTTGAGTGACACATCTAAGAGACTGAGAGCTAATTACAGGCTGGTTATAAAAAGTAGAGTATTTAGTAGTATCCTTTTTACTTGCCTGGAATTTCATACAAAATATACAAATGTGTATCATATATACTTTTATTGTTCCTAATATTTCCTTTGATATATAAATGTTATGAATATATCCCTAGCACTCTATTATACAAACTATAAAAACTGAAAAAGAAAGTTCTACTTTTTCTTACTTTTGGTACACATGGAAAATGTACTTCATGTTTGTTTTACATCAATAACCAATTTTTTTTTTTTTTTTAAAAACTGTGAATATATAGTGTTGCTTTGGTTATTTTTGTCAATGGACATCGACGTGGTATCACTGTAATACAGTATTAGCATCCATTCTCTATTGTTTCCGATAATGCATACAGCCTACTTCACATGATAGTGTCCACCATTTTAGTATCCAATTAATGCAGATAAATTGAAATTTTATTTTTACCACTATTATATCTCTATATATTTTTTCTATAATAATTATGAACATTTTAACAACCATTTTTTATTTGGAAAAGAAATTAAATCCATAAAATTGGCCTCATCGTTTTTAAAAGTCAAATATACCCCTGGAAACTCACGGGCTGCACTTCTTCTGCGCGAACCCAAACCTGTCATTCTCCAAATCGTATTCCACGTGATAGTTCTGTTGCTGGAAACTACCGAGAATAATCGCCGGACCACTCCCTCCGGCATCGGCGGAAACCACCGTTAGACAGACATTATCATTGCTTTTTACAAACGCGAAGTAGTTAGACGTCGGCAATTTCATTTTTGCTCCACCTTTGAACTCGAAGGTTAAGTCCGGCACCGTCAGCGATCCCTTGCCGGAGATATTGAAGCACGGCCCAATTCCGGTGGTCTTCTCTAAGTCTTTTTCTCGGCTGTAATTCGACATCTGCGTCGCGAATTCCTCGGCAACGAGATCGAAAATAGGTTGCTCCATGAAAGTTAATGTGGTTCCGGAATCGACGATTGTTCCTCCGTTTCCGTCGGTTCCCGGCGCGAGGTACTTGTACGGAATCTTCACGCGCTTGCTTCCGACGAAGATTCGCCGGAGATTGAGGTAGTAGTACTCGAGAAAAGCGGCGTTGGAGACGTTTGGGTTGTTTCGAAACGGCGTATAGCTAAGACCCGGAGTTTTCAACCCGGTTTTATGACCCGACCCGGTATCCAAATCGAGATCCGTGGTCACGTTCGTGTCGTCGAACCGTCGGGAAACCAAACAATGCGAGAATCTCTTGAGATTCATCTGAGAAGGGAGAGACTCGGGTCCTCTCCCGAACCCGGCGATACCAGCGGGTTGTCGGGTCGAGAGAATTGAGCATCCGACTAGGAAATCGGGTACGGTTAGATCCGGGAAAACAAGTTTGTCGGATATCAAAATCCCAGCCGTTGATCCTGATCCGTATTGGATAACGTACGGTGGACAACCGAGGGTGCAGTTTCGGGTATTCGGGTCACATCCTCGACATTTAAGATTGGGTCCGAATAGAAGCGAGCATTTCGGATTCTGGCACCCGACGATTCGTGACGAGGAAGAGTTCTTGGGCAAAAATCTAGGGATCCGATTCGGATCCAAACCGGAGAAATTGCAACCGGAGCAGAGATACCTCGAGGTACAAGGGAACCAGACGAGGCTGCTTCCGGTATCGAAGACGAAAGGGATGGTCTGCGACGGCGTGCCGAAGCTGAGGGAGACGGAGTATCCGCCGTAGCTACGAGGAGAAAGAGGGGATTTGACGACGGCGGCGGATGCGGAGGCTGTGGAGGAAGCGGAGAGAGCATCTTCGTCGGGTTTAATGGAGGTGGGTTGTTTGAGCTCTTGTGCTCTGGCGATGGAGGAATCGGCGAGACGGCGGAGAGAGAGGTAAGGGTCGTTGGGTTGTTGGTCTGTGTGGTGGGAGAAAGGAGAGAGAGGTAATTTGACGGCGGAGACGACGGAGAGGAAGAGAAGGAAGAAAAAGAGAGGAGGAGAAGAAGAAGAAGCCATTGTTTTTTGTGTTGAGCTGTTTTGGATTGGTGGCTTATGGGTTAAGTAAGAAGGAGGAGGAAGAAGACAAAGTAGTGAAAAGTGGAAAGAAGAGCAACGAAATGGCAAAAAAGTGGAGAATCATGTTCGATCTCTGTGACTTTCTTCTTCCTTTAAAAAAAAATCTGTACAAGAATTTTAATAATTTTAATTGTGTCCGTCGTTAAAAGGAAACTTACCACTATAAGTAAACAATACGTGGAAATGTATTTTTGTATGTCGATCGTCGCCGTGATAATGTACGTAAAGAAAATAGAGAGCCAGCCAATACTTGTATTTATTGATACATGCCAATTTTAACCGAATTTGTGATGTATATGGTGATGGCTTAATAATATTCGATATAGAAATACTAAAATCTAGTATTCTAGCTAATGTAATTATAGAACCATACAAAAACAAAAATTTGGAGCTATATAAAATTAGAAATCAGAAAACAAATATTTGGCTTGATGGATTGGCCATGTGATCACTCAATAGTCAAGTGGCTAACCCATTTACAAATCATGTGATGCATATTCCATTAATGCACATCTTCTCTAACCAATTCACACGTTGCTTTAATCGACGGGAAATTTGTCTGACTTTTCAGGAATGGATATTTATCTGTCCAACTTCAGACTCGATCGAATTCATAAGAAATCTTTTTTTTTAATACACCAATTAAACTAATCACAAAGTACTAACATGTGTTTTTCATTGGATTATATAAATATATATATATATATTATGATCCAATCATCCAAAGTATCCTCGATCTCTTTTTTTTTTTTTTGCACTCAGAAAAAGATCCGAAGATCAAGAGATTTGTAATTACCCTATTTTTTATGCATATATGTAATTTTGCGTTTAGATTGATATGAATTTGAATAGATTAATTGATCCTCTACGTTAGGAATCAATTGACCAAACAAGGCACGTTGAATACAATAGGTGTGAGTAATCGACCACATGTATAATTTGTTGACCCTTACAAAGTATGTGACCTGCGTGCTAATCCCCGGTAAATATATGGCCTTACACTTTCGTAATTCGCAGACAGTGATAAAACAATCAATGGCTTTCCTTTCAAACCAGTGACTTACTGAACGTAGTCACATAAAACCATCTTGATGAAGAATCAATTAAGTCTATAATGCCATATAAGACCATCTCCAACCACTATTCATCTAAACACCAAATTTTAGTGTTGTGAATAGTGGCAAATTTGGTGTTTGAGTGAATAGTGTTTTTTTTCATCTTCAACCACAATACCAAATCTCACACTAAAAAAATATATTTTATTATTATATTATTAAATTTAAAATTCTCTTTATCTTTTAATGTTTTGATAAATACTAATATTTGCTTAACGAAATTGGAAATAATAATTTTCCCAGATATTAAAATATTGTTTAAATTTATATTATGTTTTTAAAATTTATCTTGTTTTATTTAAATTTTATGTTTGTTTGATTTTATTTTGTAATTTTATGTTTTTAGTGTTTTTAATTAAACTTTATTTAATCTTAATGATAATATGTATTAATTTAAATATTTTATGTATTTATATTAATTACAACTAAATCTCATATTAATTATACTTAAAAGTTATATTACTATAAATGATATGATAAAAATACAATTTGGTATATTAATTCTAGTTATGAAATTTAATTAATTAATGAATACTATAATAATGATATTATACTAAAAGTAACAATAAAATATTATTATAATTTTTAGAGTTTTGTGAATAGTGCAACACCAAATTTGGAGTTGCACTATTCACAAAACTCTAAAAATCAAAATTTGGAGTTGTATTTGGAGTCCCATTGAAGAAGGAGAAACGCTATATTTGGTGGGATGGAGTCCCATTGGAGAAGTTCTAAGGTTTGATAATTATGAACTCTTGAAACAAGTAAATCGCCACTACGTTCGCTATAATTGTACAGCAGCAAAACATATTTGCATTAAAAACTTCTTTTCATTAGTGTTGTGATGTTTCTGTAAGTTATGCGCAGCACAAGTGTCGCACACATACAGTAAATATGACCCACCCAAACAACTTTATAAAATGATTTTGATCACCTTGAATTGTAAACAATATTAGTTTACTTATACTGTATTTTAATTTATCGTTATAAGTCATTTGAGCGCATCGGGATTTCTCATCGTCTAAACTATCCATATTGAACATAATGCAGAAAGTGTTAGAAATAAGTAAACAGGTCAAGCTTCAGTTATGAATATGGTGCTAGATTAGAGCTCTCGATCGGACATATATGAAATAGAATAAAGATGGACCAAGCTACTTATGGATGTAACCACAATTAACATCATCACTACGGTCGGGCTATCGAACTTATTAAAAATATGAACGAACATGTACCAAAACAATGTAGTCAACTGAAAAGTGGGTTCCTTTTTCTAGTCTCTTATTTCAATATTCAAGTTTATTGTCTAATTATTATTATTATTATTATTATTATTATTTGAATCAGCGTAGGTAATGTTTTTTTTGTTGATACAACATATATTTGTAATTAAAAAAAAAATCAACCAAGAAATAAGTTAATACCTCTTTTGTTACTGTTAGCTGAATTTAGAAAGAGTTAAGATGAGATTGAATATCAAGCTCCACTTTAAAACAGTAAATATGCTTAGGCGATGTGTTAGATTTAGTGAATGCTTAGAAGGGCTTAACGTGCGTTATAAACTAAGAATAATTCCACGACTTTGAGGAACCTTTCAACGTTTGGCATTCGAAGAATCAATAAATTTTGAGGTAATGCTAACATTCCGTCAAGCAGCATTTCACCCAAAAAAATAGAACATTTTTTTTGCCTATGGCTTCTTCAGGCCGGAGCATGACTATATATATATATATATATATATGTTTAGATAAATGATTTTGTTCATTCTCCGAGAATATACTTCATGTAGAATAATGTCGTATCCTATCAATGTTTCCATATGTCATGTAGAATAAATGAATTGTCGTATTTTATTTTTTCGTGTTTGCTGTTTTCATTTATAGCAATCCCCTTTTTCATTCATTTTAACTTTTTATCCACGTTCGTCGGCTGTCGTAGCCTATGTTAAAACTTAAAACTCGACGATAATTAATTTTGTTAATACATATATTAAAGTATGTTATAACACATATCATATATGGATTCTTATACCGGCTCATTAGGCCCATCAGGGCATTGTACTTAACTTAGATTCCCTATGTACTCTATATATACATTCCAGTGATTAATAAAGTTTCTAAGTTTTCACAACACGTTATCAGCACGATAAGACTCTCTGAGCGAAAAACCCTAATAAATCCGGCCACCACTAAAACCCTAAAAGCAAGTCGAAACTTAAAAGACGCATATCTTCCAAACCGTGAGGAACCAGAAGACGATCTACATATCAAATCGAAGCCCTCGACGAGACGAATCTACTGGTGAAAACCGTTTGTCGATCCAACGTCGGACGCGCCCTCACGCACACTTACAGTACACGACGATCAACCGAAAAAAAAAAAAAACCAGATCCGAGTTTTTCCTTCTTCAACCAGCAGCTTCTCCAGTTTTGGTGATCAATCCTTGGAATTTGTAGCGGCTAACTGAAGTCTATTAGCTCCCAGTTTCATTAGCCTGTCAGAAATCCAAAGGTGGAAAAGCACACCAGCAAATGGAAACCATAGTCGTAGATAGTGGATCCAGCCACACTATCTTAAGAAACAAAAGTTACTTCATAAACCTAACCTATCAAACCGCAAATATTAGCACCATCGCGGGTCCCTCAAACCTTATCGAAGGATATGGCCATGCCTATGTGTTGCTATCAAATGGCACACAACTTGAAATACCAGATGCTCTATATTCTCCTAGTTCGAAGAGAAATCTTCTGAGCTTCAAGGATATAAGACAGAATGGTTTCCACATAGAAACCCAAGGTCAAGGGAACAAAGAATCCCTCCTAGTCACTAAAACCGTAGACGGCCATAAACAAATCCTCGAAACCATACACGCGCTCTCTACTGAACTTTACCATGCTAAAGTCCGTATGATTGAAGCTAATACCACTCTCAAAGCCCGGTTTACTGATTATACTATTTGGCACGACCGGCTCGGTCATCCCGGTGCAAATATGATGCGTAAACTAATTCAAAACTCTCAAGGGCATACCCTCAAAGAAAACCGAGCTTATCCTCAACACCTCATGTGCACAGCTTGTTCTCAAGGCAAATTGATCACTCGGCCCTCACCAGTTAAAATCTCTAAACAAACACTTCATTTCCTAGAAAGAATCCAGGGCGATATCTGTGGACCTATACATCCATCTTCCGGACCATTCCGGTACTTCATGGTCCTTATAGACGCATCGACCCGTTGGTCATATGTTTGTCTCTTGTCCTCTCGGAACCAAGCCTTCGCTAGGTTCTTGGCCCAAATCATAAAATTGCGGGCCCATTTCCCTGACTTCCCACTAAAGACTATCCGCCTTGACAATGCTGGTGAATTTATCTCACAAGCGTTTAATGACTACTGTATGGCCATGGGGGTAACCGTGGAACATCCTGTAGCACATGTCCATACTCAAAATGGATTGGCTGAATCATTCATTAAACGCATTCAATGGATAGCCCGACCATTACTCATGAGATCAAAGCTCCCGGCCTCAGCATGGGGACATGCAGTATTACATGCTGCTGAACTCATACGCATCCGGCCATCTAGTGAACACAAATATTCCCCATCCCAACTACTCTCGGGTCATGAGCCAGACATCTCCCATCTCAAAACATTTGGGTGTTCAGTATATGTACCCATTGCTCCACCACATCGAACCAAAATGGGACCTCAAAGAAGGATGGGAATATATGTTGGTTTTGACTCTCCCACCATCATAAGATATCTCGAGCCAACCACTGGAGATCTCTTCAAGGCCAGATATGCGGATTGCCAATTCTATGAATCGGTATATCCCTCTTTAGGTGGTGAGACAAACAAGCTGGTCAAAGATCTTTCATGGAATCAAATATCATTAAATTGGCAAGATCCTCGGACTCTAGAATGTGATTCAGAGATCCAAAAGATTATTCATTATCAAAAGCTAGCTAATCAATTGCCAGATTCCTTTGCTGACCCGACCAAAGTAACCAAATC